ATATATATATATATATATATATATATATATAAATCTAAGTGTTAAAAATTTTAGAGATATGATCAAGTAAATTATGAAACACCTGTATAACAGAATATCATGTCATCCTTTTTTAAAAAGTTTACAAATAAGCTGTTAATAACATATGTTTAACATATAATGCTGAATAAAGAAGATACTAAATGCTATGTTCTTTATGAACACAACTATTGAAAAAATGCATCAAGAAAGATTAGAAGGAAATACAATTGTTGGGTAGTGTAATTTATTGCTTTTTTCAAGTCAGTACATGAATCCATGATTTCCAGATTTTCCCATGTTAAATAAGTACCACTTTTTGTTATTTTTAAAAAAGGAAGGTCTTCCCTGGTGGCGCAGTGGTTGAGAGTCTGTCTGCTGATGCAGGGGACATGGGTTCGTGTCCCGGTCCGGGAGGATCCCACATGCCGCGGAGCGGCTGGGCCCGTGAGCCATGGCCGCTGGGCCTGCGCATCCGGAGCCTGTGCTCCGCAACGGGAGAGGCCACAACAGTGAGAGGTCCGCGTACCGCAAAAAAAAAAAAAAAAAAGGAAAATTGGGGGGAAGTGTAAATTCAAATAAATAATTAATAGAATTTGAGAGAGCTATAAACAGTGCTAATTATCAGGCAATATGGAAACAGAGCTTTGTGGGCAAAGGAGCATTCCTTTCTTTGACTATGTTACCAAGAGTTTAATTAGGATACTCATTTTAAATTAATCATATTATAAAATAAGTTTTGTGATTATGAAAACATTACTTATCACTATTGCTATTGCATTTTATAGATTCAATAAAACCTATTACTGAGTCTTCTCTTGATTTAGTATTCTGGACATTTTATATATATCATATAGAAAATAACACAGGGTTGTGATTTAGACAAACAGGAAAAAAAGGTTATATAGTGAAAAAGTCTTAATCCCATCTTACGTTTTCCCAGATATTGCAAGTCTCTGGGCCACAAACTTTTCTTGCATATAACCCTATGTATACTGTATTTACACACTAATAACACTTCTATACACCTTATTTCACTTAATGTACCTTAGAAACATTTACGAATCAGTATGTATACATCCACTGCATGCTTTGTACATACTTCCTATTGTATTTACATAACACAATTAGCAACCCCTTAACGATATTTAAATTATTTCTGTTTTTCTCTGTAACAAGTCTTTAGTGAACGTTCTTGTACAAATATGTTATGTATGGGAATAAGTATCTCCACAGATAAATTCTTATAAGTAGAATTGTTGATTCAAAGACTATGGTATACATTTAAAAAATGTGATCTTGCCCAATCGCCTTCCAAAGAATTTGTATCACTTTACACTCTGGGGGAACATTTCTAATCAACACAGATTTTTTTTTTAAAGCAAACTCCGATGCTGTCAACAGCCAGGAAAATAAATTAGTGAAGCAGGCTGGCGTAAGAAAATGGCAAACTGGAGAGCATGTTCAGTCATTGCAAGAAGCAGCTTCTACTCAATTCCAGCCTACTAATAATGCCTTCTAGGAATCTCTGCCCAATGTTAAACTGTCAGATTTCTCACAAAAGCCAAAAATCTGGACTTCTGCATGAAATCTCCAGATTTTTAAAATGTTGACAACTCACGAAAAATTTAGAATTGGTGTAACAAACAAAACACATGTGTGAGTGGGACTCATCTGTTGAGCCTCCAACGTGTGACCTATGTTTAAAGCTATCATTGCCCCACCAAAGCCAACAAAGATGTCACCACAACCGGCTGTGTTTAGCATCTTGTTGTAAAACTAGGATTTCAATAGATTACATTATGTTTTTGGATGAATTAGAAGATGAGTTTTATTAACTACGTGGTCACTATCCCCACAAACTATTTGAATAACTTAATCTACTCTTGCCCAGGTGTTTTCGTTAATCAGTTTCCTACAATATGCTCCCTTGCCTTCTAGTTTCATTCCTGTAAAGTGCTGTATTTCTGTTTTCTTCCTTATATGAAACTACCACATGTAGTAAGAGTTATTTTCCTGTTAGTGTAATCTTCTTTTACCCAAAGGAGAAGAAAATCTCTAATCATTTTTTTATATTTGCCTTCAACATATCCATCTACTTACAGAAGAAATTGTGGGAATAGAATTAAAAAGACTTGCTGCCTCTAGTTTAAATAGGATTTTTAATCCATATAAAATCTTTTTATATTAGCTAAATTCTTATTGTTTAGAAACTAAAGATAATATAAAAGAATAAACCCTAAAATTGCTAGCTCTATATAAAAAAATATTCAAATTCATGGATATAAAACCATGAGATTTTTAATGTTTTATTATCTCCTCTCCATAAATACCTGCAAAAGAACCAATCTGACAAAGCCAATGTATGATTATAAACAGAAATAAATGTTTGTAAGTACTAAAATTATAAGCAATGTAATATTAAATAAATCAGTTACCTAGCTGAAGTTAGAAGGCAATAACCTCTTGTACAATTAAATTTCAAAAACCAACATTTTAAAAATTATTAGCTTCATTTGTTGTAAATAATGCATCTGAATCCTAATTTTAGGGCTAATAGTAATTTTAAAAGATTTCTGTTTTTAATGTAATCTGTTGAGAGATGTTTTCTTAATATTAAAAAAAACCCCACAATAACAAAAGAAGACCAAAAAACATGTATTAAAGAAGTTTTATGACTTAGCAAAGCTTTCAACATATATGCCTAAATACATGTATATACAATACATATTTGCCTATATTGACATATATACATTGTCTACATTTGTCAGTGACAAACACAGTGGCTGCTCATATGAGAAAATATGCATATAAGAGTCATTTTACCAATAATGATGCCACTGGATAATCTATTTTTAGTTTCCAAAGGCAAGGTCCTAAACATTACAAATTCCCCTGTTAGTATTTTTAAATGTCTGAGTGTTCCTACTTCCCCTAAAAGGTATGCTGTAACTACTCAACTGTGTCTTTTCCAAGACACCCTAGAGGCTTCCTTGGTGGTGCAGTGGTTGAGAGTCCGCCTGCTGATGCAGGGGACACGGGTTCGTGCCCCAGTCCAGGAAGATCCCACATGCCGCGGAGCGGCTGGGCCTGTGAGCCATAGCCCTGGGCCTGCGCGTCTGGAGCCTGTGCTCTGCAGCGGGAGAGGCCACGGCAATGAGAGGCCACGGCAGTGAGAGGCCCGTGCACCGCCAAAAAAAAAAAAAAAAAAAGACACCCTAAAATTAAACCCACTGCTTTGTATTACATATACATCATTTGAACTCAACATTCTAATAATAAAAAGGAAGTTTACGGAAAAATTAAATTAAATTACAAACTTAAATTGTAATCTGCACATCAGATTACGTTTTCAAATGTATCATTAGAGCTCACAGATAAAACAACAGTAACAAAAAGAAACCCAGTAAAATATCGTATTTTAATTTTATCTAAAATATAAATTAAAATAAGGCATAAGAAAAACTTTGAGACAATATATGTATGTGAAAAACTGACCACTGAAAGATGCAAATAATTCATACAATATAGCATAAGCTTTAATATATAAATTAGATGTCACTACATCAGCTGTTTATTAGTCACATCAGTCTAAACTTTACATATTAAAATACTGAAAGGCTAGAAAACATCACTGCAATATAGATTCAATATGGGAAAATACATATTTGTGGCTTTATACACAATGTAAATTAATCCATTCTATACAACAGTTTTCCAAAATATAAACGGCACTTTACATGCAATAGGACATACCAAGCTGGATGTCCTAATTAATTTACTATATAGAAAAATAAAGGAGACAACACCTTTTTAACAGAACAGTTACATAGCAGACATGGAATGTAGAATAAGATTCTGCCCTAACACACTCTTGGATAATATTAAAGAAATATGAAAAAGGAGTTTCTACTATTTTCAATTAGCATTTTTTAAATGAAGACTACTGTGATTTATATGTTCTAATTGTATCACAAACTGAGAAAACATAAAAGGGAAAAGAGACGGGGAAGAAAGAAAACCTGATCCTTTATGAATTTTAAATATCAGCCCTGCCTGTGGGCTGCATTTAGGCTGCTTTTCTGTTGACGGTTTCCTAAATTACTTCTGCGACTCTGCACTGCACATCAGCAGTCAGATGAATTTTCCAGACTTCATTATGCCATTGTGTAACCATAGCTGCCACAATGTAGTGCCACAAGAAGCCTGTCCTTGAGTATTTCTTTACTTGGGTATTCAGGTAACTTGAGCATGTTGATGCTTTAAAAGAAAAACATACCACTATTAACTAAGAAATCTCTGAAATTTTTTATTGTTTTGTCTAGCAGTGAAAACACTACTCAAAATTAAGGTAAAACCACCCTCTTAAATTTGCAATCAAATTGGAAAACCCTGAAGTAGTATTTACAAAGGAAAAAAAAAACAAAACCCTGCTGCATTGCAGTTTCCTTTAGCATGCAAATGTAGTAGAAGAAAATAAGTTCCCTTCAGCCTAAAATAAATAAGCAATAGGGCAATTTAGTTTGAAATGATGGTGTAACTCAGTGATACTTATGACAGTGTAACTTTAGTGATACTTGAACTACACGTATTCAATTAGAGTACAGGTAGGTAGTTTCCTCAAACATTTTCCCTACCAAAAAAGGGGAAGGCAAGAAACTATGTAGCTACTTATTTATCAGTGATTACAAAATGTTGAATAGAGATCACTGTTGAGATTTTCCTCTCAATGCAGCAATACAGTAGTTGGACCTTTGATCATTCAAAATTAATCAGAACAATTTGCAATGCATCTAAATAAACCAATTTAACATACCATGTGCTTGAAGTCGGTAGAAGATTTGGAGTATATGGCACAGCAGCAATTGTAAAGTTCTGCAATCCACTTCCACCCATGATATTAGCAAATCCACCATGTGGGACCCTGGAACTAAGAGTTCATATCTTAGTAAGTCGTAATCATGCAAGGAAAATCTTGGTAACGGGTATATTTCGAATTAGCAAAATGACTAGTATCTAGTAGATGTTCATTAAATATTTGCTGAATAAATAAATGGCTTACTTGATTAATTCAAGCAACAGAGGCTCTTACATGTTATCCAAATGATTTCCCTGTCTGTGAAAAATATCTAGAGTCAAAGCGTTTTTGTTTTGTATTGTTTTACACGGTGGGAAAACTAGAAAATTCTTTACACTTCTCTTTCCAGAGATTTACACATTGGTTGTATTCTTTTCAAATGTCCCCTAACATAGTGAGACCACAGGAAGGTGAACAAACTCAGAAGTCTCACAGTTCCTAATTTCCAAACTTAAACTACAAAACTGCAGTCATCAAAACTGTGGCACTGGCATAAAGACAGATACATAGACCAATGGAATAGAGAACCTCAAAATAAACCCTTAAATATATGGCCAAATGGTTTTTGACAAGAGTGCTAAGAATCTCCAATGGAAAAAGGACAGTCTTTTCAACAAACTGTGTTGAGAAAACTGGATATCCACTACAAAAAAATGAAGCTGGACCCTCACCTAATGCCATATACAAAAAGTTAACTCAAAATGAATCAAAGGCCTAAATGAAGAGCTAAAACTATAAAATTCTTAGAAGAAAATACAGGGGAAAAACTTCATGACACTGGATTTGGTAATGATTTCTTGGATATGACACCAAAGGGACAGGCAACAAAAGAAAAATGAATTAGACATCATCAAAATTAAAAACTTGTGTGCCAAAGGACACCATGAACTGAGTGAAAATGTGAGCCACAGGAGAAAATATTTTGAAATCATAAATATGACAAGGAATTAATATCAAGAAAATATATAGATCTCCTACAACTTAACAACAACAAAAAATAGGGACAATTTTTAAAATTTAAAAAATAGGGACAGGACTCAAATAGACATTTCTCCAAAGAAGATACACAGATGGCTTATAAGCATTCGAAAAGATGCTCAATCAACATCACTTGTCATTAGGGAAATGCAAATCAAAAGCTCATTGAGATAACCACCTCATAGGCATTAAGATAACTATTAAAAAAAAAAGATCACTAGAAAATAACAAGTATTGGAAAGGACATGCAGAAACTGAAACCCTTATGCAATTGCTGGTGGAAATGTAAAATTGTGCAGCCACTGTGGAAAACATTATCACAGTTTCTCAAAAAACTAACCATAGAATTACAGTAAATATCCAAAAGAATAGAAAGTAGAGACTCAAACAGATATTTGTACATCCATGTTCATAGCAGCATTACTCACAATAGCCAAATAGTGGACTCAACCCAAATAACTGTCCATGGATGAAAGAATAAGAAAACTGTGGTAAACACATACAATGGAATACTATTCAGCCTTTAAAAGGACATATGCTACAATATGGATGAATCTCGAGGACATTATGCTAGGTGAAATAAGCCAGTCACAAAAAGGCAAATAATGTATGATTCCACTTACATAAGGGACCTAAAGTAATCAAATTCATAGAGGGACTTCCCTGGTGGCACAGTGGTTAAGAATCCACCTGCCAATGCAGGGGACCTGGGTTCGAGCCCTGGTCTGGGAGGATCCCACATGCCGCGGAGCAACTAAGCCCGTGAGCCACAACTACTGAGACTACTGAGCCTGTGTTCTAGAGCCCGCGAGCCACAACTACTGGGCCCACGTGCCACAACTACTGAAGCCCGTGAGCCTAAGACCCGTGTGCCTAGAGCGCGTGCTCCACAGCAAGAGAAGCCACCACAATGAGAAGCACGTGCACCACAACGAAGAGTAGCCCCCGCTCAATGCCAACTAGAGAAAGCCCATGAGCAGCAACGAAGACCCAACACAGCCAAAAATAAATAAATAAATCTATTTAAAAAATTATAAAATTCATAGAGACAGAAAGTAGAACGGTAGTTGCCAGAGGCTGGGGGTAGGGGAAATGGAAAGTTAGTGTTTAATAGGTACAATTTCAACTGAGAAAGATAAAAAGCTCAGGAGATGAATGGTGGTGATGGCTGCACAAATATGTGATGTACACAGAACTGTACACTTAAAAATGATTAAAATGTTTAATATTAAGTATGTTTTACCACACACACTAAAAAAACCTGTCGAATAATGCACCAGGATTTTCTGTCTGAAATCACAGATGATATGTTTACATTCACAGGGGGAAAAAAAACAATCCAATATAAACAGATCTCTTCCCAGCATTTTTCTTTTCTAGCTGGGAAGTAGTTTGGTTGCTATTAAACACTTTATTGACGAAATGCCTAAGCTTACTTTAGAAATCCAAGTGAATGTTAAAAGGATGCCTGCATCAAAAAAAAAAAAAAGGATGCCTGCATCTTGCTAACAAAACACTAACACATGAGCAATTCCTACTTAGGGAAAGAGAATATCTAAAGACCTGAATATGTCTATAAACTGAAACATTACTTTCTGCATATTTCCCTTTGCCTAAAAAATTAACAAAGGTGACCAAAAATGAAAAGGAATAAAAGGCAAGCTGTTTTCAATTTCCTACAGAGGCAAACTTTAAAAACAAGTATTCCACTTCACCAGGACAAGGTGAGAAGAGGGCCTTGACACTGATTCTTACACAAATTATATCACAGTATTTCAATAACAGAATGATCAATCTAATGTCTTTCATATAAATAAATTTTGAAAAATAAGCTTAAAAAAATCAGATAATCCCCCAATTTTCATATCTAAATTGAAATTATTCTGTAAACTGATATTCACAAACAATCTCTGAAACCTTACTCCTCTTCCTCTAAACTACAATTCAGAGGAAGTGTGGGGCCCACACTTGAATAACCAGTGGATCTTAGCTAAGATTATGGCTCATCAAGCTTAAGCATGTATGAGAAAAATAAATGGTCTTTGGTTGAGTATTATGACACCTGACATATACAATGTAAAATTACAGTTAATAAAAATGAAATATTTCTATTTTATACACAAATCATCAAGTCTGACTTTCATTATTCTTAAGAGATAATGAAACAAGAGTAAGACATTTAAGACAGCCTTGTAGATAAACAAAATATTGTCACCACCATAAAAATATTTTAAAGTTACTGTGGATACAGATTCTTGCTTCTACAACTGGAACACATTTGACTCTTTAGTAAGATTCTTTTAAATTATACTATGGACACAGAGAAAGACATTTTACAATCTAAATATAAATGATAGAATTTTCCAAAAAGTGGAAAAAAAAAACCACACACACACACTCTAGGTCTAGAATGGCAAATGCAATACCTATTGATAACTGGGTCTAGTGTAAAAGGAAAGTTAAGGTTTAAAAGAACTTAAGGGCTTCCCTGGTGGCGCAGTGGTTGAGAGTCTGCCTGCCGATGCAGGGGACATGGGTTCGTGCCCCGGTCCGGGAGGATCCCACATGCCGCAGAGCGGCTGGGCCCGTGAGCCATGGCCGCTGGGCCTGCGCATCCGGAGCCTGTGCTCCGCAACGGGAGAGGCCACAGCGGTGAGAGGCCTGCCTACCACAAAAAAAAAAAACCACAATAAAAGAACTTAAGACTTAGTTTGAATTCAAAACAAGGACTCCATGTAGACTAAGTGCTGAAAAGTGGATTCTTCAACCTGAAGGTAAAGCTTAGCTCCATGTAGTTTCCCCTCAGCTTCCTTGGCTTCTACTTTTTTTTTTTTTTAACCTCTTTATAATTGCTTTACAATTGTGTGTTACTTTCTGCTTTATAACAAAGTGAATCAGCTATACATACATATATATCCCCATATCTCCTCCCTCTTGGCTTCTACTCCTTACCCACATTCTTCATCTCAGTTTAAATGGATTCGCAGCTACACTTCTCGACCAATTAAATAGTAAACAGTACAGATCTTTTCAGCACTGCTAACTATGACTGTACTATTGACACGGGAGACGTACAGTGTATTACTAATCAAAGTGTTTTTTATTCTACAAGAGCAGCAATCTAACAGACATTTTTAGTACTAAAGAACTTGAATAATTGTTTCCTACATCTTAAAGACTCATACCAACTGAATCATGAAGGAAAATATAATAATTTATTAAATGGTGTTTAAATATAAACTGCTTAGAAAAATAATCAAAGAGCCCTGCCTTATAACATAAACCAAAATAAAGTCCAGATGGCTTAAAAATTGGTATGTAAAAACAGAAACTACAAAAAAGTTACAGAAAAAAAGGTAGATAAACATATATATACAAAATCTTGGGAGTACGGAAGAATTTATTTTAAAAACATAAGGAAAGTACTGATAATAAACTTGCAACCTAATTTAGCACTTTCATTATATAATTTTTATAAATTAAATTTATAATCTAAATTACAGGGAAATCTGTATGTTTAACTTAATATAATTAAAAGGCAAATGATAAACTGGGAAAGATATTTGCCGAGTTAGTGTCCCTATATATAAAGAACATTTAAAACCAAATTTTTGAAAATGATGGTAGAATAATGTGCAAAAAATAAAGGAAATCCACACCACACCATACATATATGAAACTATGAAAATAAAAATGATTACATCCTGTATTGATAGAATAAAAGAAATAGGCTGAGGTGAATACTGATATTTTTCTGAAGGTTAAATGAACAATGTCTCAAGGTTATAAAAATTTATATACTTTTTTATCTAAAAATTTCCCTTCTAAGAATTTATCCTATATTTTTATCCTATATATCATATATATCACATTTATCCTATATTTATAAATAATCAAACTGGGCTGCAAGTGTATAAAGCACAAGATTTCCTTATTCAGCATTATTCATAAACAGGAAAATGTAGCAATAAAGGACTATATCAATTAAGGGAGGTCCATAGACTGAAGAATAGACAGCCATTTAAAAAACTAGATCTATAAATGAAACAATGTTTAATGATATATTGCTAAATTCAAAAGTTATAAAATAGGAACAATGTTTTTCAAAAATAAAAATTTATATATGTGAGAAAAATTCTAGAAAAATAACCAAAATGTTAAGTGATTATATTCAGAGACTGATATTAAAGGTGATTTTTTAAAAATTTGAATTATCAGGCTTCCCTGGTGGCGCAGTGGTTGGGAGTCCGCCTGCCGATGCAGGGGACATGGGTTCATGCCCCCTGCATCGGCAGGCGGACTCTCAACCACTGTGCCACCAGGGTAGCCCTTAACGCTTTTTATTAAATTACTCAAATCTCTAGGTATTTCTGGCACTAAGTAGCCAAAAAAAAAAAAAAAAAACACTGACAAGATTTTCTTTCATAACTTTAGTCTATAATCTGTGAATAATTCATGTTTTATTCTTTGAAATTAGGTACATAGTATATATTATATATTGTATAGGTATATAGTGTATATTTTTCTAATTATATACCTAAAAAACTAAGAAAATACAGCAAAACATTAATAGTGTTATCTCTAAATAGTAATTAATTAATGGGATTTTCATTTTCTTGTATTTACAGTCTCCATTTTCAAAATTTTCTATAATGGTTATGAACTACTTTAAAAATAAAACAGTTGACTTTAAATTACATATATATAAGACAGATATATATTCACACTATGTTTTTAAAACAGGTAGGAAAAAGATACATCAAATTATTTACAGTGCTTATTGCTGGCAGGTGATATTTTTTCTATTTCTTCTAATTTTCTGTGTTCCAACTTTCTTAGAAGAACCATGTACATTTATAATGGAATGACTAAACTATATTTTCATAAATAGAAGGACACAGATGAAATTCTAACTTATCAAGAATGAAAATCAGGAATTCCCTGGTGGCGAGGTGGTTAAGAATCCACCTGCCAATGCAGGGTACACGGGTTCGAGCCCTGGTCTGGGAAGATCCCACATGCCTCGGAGCAACTAGGCCCGTGCGCCACATCTACTTAGCCTGCGCTCTAGAGCCCGCAAGCCGCAACTACTGAGCCCACATGCCTAGAGCCTGTGGTCCGCAATAAGAGAAGCCACCGCAATGAGAAGCCCGTGCACCACAACAAAGAGTAGCCCCCGCTCACCGCAACTAGAGAAAGCCCATGCGCAGCAATGAAGACCCAACGCAGCCAAAAATGAATAAATAAAAAATAAATTAATTTTTTTTTAAAAAGAATGAAAATCAGACCTTTTCTTTTACATCTTTCAGAACTGTAAGTTAGAAGAGGTTTAAATCATCTAGTTTTCTAATATCTATGATATTTAATTGGTTCCAAAAGTAGACTTTCCAAAGTGTGGTATCACAAATTATTTTTCAGGCCACAAATCTTAAGACTTTAAAGTTTGATAAGAATTGGAGAAAAACTGCTGTGTATGGGTATTATTATGTATTGTGTGCACGTGTGTGTGTGTGTTGTCCCAGCAACAAATGTTGGCTACTATCATTGACTTACCTGCAGAATGAAAAGACTACCAGGTTATAAAATATAATATACATGCTGATAGTCCTGATTGGAACAGTTTATCTTTTATACCTTAAATAAACATTTATTGAGCACTACTATATGTTTTAACTTTAATGCCTAAATAAACCTTTGTTTAATATCTAAAAAAATGGAAAAGGAGGTAAGAAATTGACAATTCAGAGTAATAATTCATTTTGAGTTGTCTATGTCTAAGCCATTAGAAATGGAATCTATTAAATTCTTTCCACATTATCATAAAAACACTTCTTACCTGCCAGTAACAAACTGCAACAGAAGAACTCTCTCCTCTGGAGTAATATCTTCCACAACTTCCCAGAACCACTTAAAAACAACAATAAAAAACTTAGCTCATATTTCAGAGCAACTGCAGGCTTCTTAGTACCAGAGAAATATGCAATATTCATAAAGCATATTTTATTCCATGAAACTCATTTATCAAAAAAGATTTCATACAAAGCGCTCATATGCAATTCCCATGAGAAGATTTAGGGGAAAACTTTACTTTGTTAATTAATGTAGGTTTTCATCCAATAGTGCTGAAAAGCTTACAAGATTAAATAGCAAAACTTAACTTCATTCTAAGCTCTGGAGAGACTTTACCTGAATAACTGGATCTTCTCTTTCATAGCCACTTGTGTATTCAGTATTTTTTATCCAATCACTCACATCAATTTCTGGCATGCCAGAAAGCAGTAGCTCCTTTGGGGAAGAAGCAAAATATTTCATTAGTCTTCTCTGGGGAAAAAAAGTGATTACATTTAAATAGTAAATTTGCCTTAATTAGAAACTTTTACATTTAATCCCATGTAAAACTGATTTATTTTTGTAACAGTGTCTGCAAGTCATCAATAACAAGTACTACCTGAGAGAGAACCCTTGATACTAATAATCTCAAATATTGTGAGATGTGGAGATGTCTCTACACTGATACAATATAATTAAAACATGAGATAGGGCTTCCTTGGTGGCGCAGTGGTTGAGAGTCCACCTGCTGATGCAGGGGACATGGGTTCGTGCCCCAGTCCGGGAGAATCCCACATGCCGCGGAGTGGCTGGGCCTGTGAGCCATGGCCACTGGGCCTGTGCGTCCGGAGCCTGTGCTCCGCAGCGGGAGAGGCCACAGCAGTGAGAGGCCCGCGTACCACAAAAAAAAAAAAAAAAAAACCATGAGATAACAGTTTACCTTTATATAGAAACACACATGCCACAACAGTTTATATGTGCAATAATTTTGTGAACATTATTATCTTTGATTTATATATATTTTATGAATTTGTTAAATTCTATAAAAATACTATACTCTCAGTATGAAAGTGAAAACAAAGACCTAAATAAATCTGGGTTAAGCAAAGGAAAAGATCAAGAAACCCTAATCACTAGGAAAAAAAGGAGTTATTATAATAAAAATAGTTATTATTTTTAAAAAACCAAAACACATTTAGGCCTTTGAAGAACTCTATTCTGGAATAATTCCAATCCAACTTTCAAGTCAAATTTCTCCAAGGTGAAAAAAAAATGCAATTTTCCTACTAATGACTTTTGGTATCCTTCTTTTTTCCAGGAAGATCATCAAACAAACAAAATATCAATCCAATAACTAAGAATGAATTAATAATGGCAAAAGTATTTACCATCATGATCCCCAAGAGAAAAGAGAACATGAAAAAGGCTTATCCAAATCTCTGAATCAGCCCGTATTACACAGGTGGATGTGTTTACACAGTAAAGTGAGGTAATAACTAGCCTAAGCTTAACACCGACAAGCCAGAATAGCAGAGTTTGTTACTGCAGAGATAGATACCATGTGGTTCAAAATCACTTCTCCTACAGCAATTCCTCATAATATATACCTGCCTAGTATAGAGTATGCTCCTAGTATAGAGTATGAAGGCCAATGTAAGGTGGTGTCTCAGAACTCTTGGGTGTTTCTGGGATCTATTTAAGGAGTCTGCAAGGTTCTCCCTTTTCCAACGTATCTGAGGCTGGATTTTCTCCATTTAGTTCAACCAAGCAACATATCACAACAGATTATAAGCAGAAGCAGATATGAGAACCCAGTTTCTCCTATTAAGCCAGATATTAAAGACACTTGCAAAGATATAAAACAATGCCACTTCTCCCACTATTTTTGTTTTATTCTGGAAAATGCAGTTTTAATTTCTTAAATGTTTTATTTATGTTAATATGTAATGAATTGTTATTTTTATGTGAATTAATTAAAAATTTTACATTTCTGTTTGAATTTCAAATACAGTTAAGTATCAATTACTATAAACCACATAAACAAACTCTTTTCTTTTAAGGGGTCCTAAGACCAAAAAGTTTGAGAACTGCCTGTCTAGGGTGTGTTTTAGTCCTCCTTGCCATAGTATTATAAAATACTTTAACTAGATGAAATCATTCTGGTAGGGTGCATTTTATCACCCCCAAATACATTTTCCATCTTCCTTTGCACATTCTATGCCCCAAGAGGCACAGACTGGCTCTCTTGCCTGTTGGTTTCAGGTTGGGCTCCATCACTGGGCAACAGGCAGGCGTCTGCAGGTAAGGGCATTTTCTGCTCCCTCCCTGCTTCAGTACATCTTTGCAGTAGCTATGTCTCCTCAACTAGAGCTGCCACCTGGTGGCCCCCGGTGGTTCAGGCTCTCACCGGGCTCCTCACAGTACTTCCTCCACTTGTCTTCAATTCTAGGGGTGATAAGGCTTTTCCACTGTTGCTATTCTCTGGATGCCTCAACCATACCTTGTTTCTTCTTAACCTGCCCATGCCTCTTTAAGTTCCTCCATTAAAGTTTCTTTATTTGAACCATCTGGGGAAATTCTGCTCCCTGGCAGTACCCTGACACAGATCTGCCAAAAGGAATATGGATGATTGTTACATGTTTCTTGTACCCATGAGTTTAATCCTCTTCCCTTCTAGGCTGAAGATAAGCTTTTAATAATATTAAGTATGCTTTCATTGTTAATAATTGTGAATAAAAATGAGTGAGAGGATATTCTCTCAAGAAATTTGAAGCATTTCATGAACATCATATGTTATGACTTTGTGAAGAGGACAAAAGATCTTTATTATCCCGTTTAACACCTGGGCAAAAAAAGTTATTAAACTGACTGAAAACAGACAAAATGGGAAGTCCACAATACAAAGTACATATGCATATAACAAAAAGATTTTAAATCCCAATCAATAATTTATTATTTTTTTAATATATATATTTTAAAGTTATATACTTTATTTTTGGCTGTGTTGGGTCTTTGTTGCTACGTGTGAGCTTTTCTCTAGTTGCGGCGAGTGGGGGCTATTCTTCATTGCAGTGCGCGGGCTTCTCATTGCGGTGGCTTCTCTTGTCGCGGAACACGGGCTCCGGGCGCGCGGGCTTCAGTAGTTGTGGCTCGCGGGCTTAGCTGCTCCGCAGCATGTGGGATTTTCCCAGACTAGGGCTCGAACCCGTGTCCCCTGTATTGGCAGGCAGACTTTTAACTACTGTGCCACCAGGGAAGCCCCTATTTACTTTAAGATTTTTTTGATGTGGACCATTTTTAAAGTCTTTGTTCAATCTGTTACAATACTGCTTCTGTTTATGTTTTGGTTTTTTGGCCCTGAGGCATGTGGGATCTTAGCTGCACCCCCTGCATTGGAAAGCAAAATCTTAACCACTGGACCACCAGGAGAGTGACAAAATAACTGAATTGGTCTGTTGGAATTAATTAGGTACAACATATATAACCCATAAACTAATAGTCAGGAACTGAGTCATGCAGGTGTTCACAGCTCTTAGCTTACCTAGAGTTTACATGACTCAGTGTTTTAATATCCTGGTACCACCATGGATAAACTCATAAGCAGCACAGTATGGCAGGACAGTCCCTCAGACATTTGAGGAACCCCTCAACTGTAATAATGTTATAGATACAGTAATCACAAAATGTTGTCACCATTTTTGAACCTGATAATCACCTCTTGACTTGAGACTGCGTTCTGTCCACAAATGGATGAATACACATCCAGTTAAGGACACTGATGCTACTGGATACCTTCTTTTCACTAAAGCTCTAGAATCTAACCAGTATCCTTTAACTCTGATTAACATCTAGCTTAGATGTTTGCACAAACTTATTTAAAAAGTTTTCTATCCCAGTGTAGCAGAGCCCTTTCCTACGAAAGACACAAAGTCACACCAAAGGTTCTAAAACCAAGTCCTACTTATATAGTTCACGCCACTGAGAGGCAATACTGATGAAGAGAGACTGGGCTGTGGTCAGAGACCATGGGTTCACAGTCTGGCTGTAACACATACTCTGTGAACATGAGCAAGTCCCATACCTTCTTTGGCCTAGTTTTCCTCATCTATAAAATGGGAATAATAAGTTACCTCAGGGGTCTGATGTGAAGGTTTTAAAAGTTAATACACATGAAGTACCTGGCAAATACTAAGTGTTTAATAATAATAATTATCATCACTGCATAAGTAAGCATCATGCCAACAACACTGCTCTTCCAAAACAATCCCACCATCTGAATCAGCTCAACTTAGTAAAGCCAGAGTAGAAGACAGACTAGGAATCCTGACCTAACTTCTAATGTAAGGACCACAATTAAAAACTTACCAGTAGCAAACCTAAATGTAAAAGACAAAGGAATAAAGTTTTCAGAAGAAAATACAGGAAAACACTTTCATGACCTTGGAATAAGAAACAGTTTCTTAAACAGGACACAAAAAGCTCCATTCATTTAAAAAAAAAAGGGAAGAGAAAAAACAAGTGATAAACTGAACTGCGTTAAAACTAAAAACTTTTATTAGTTAAAAGACACCAGAGTAGAAGATCTTCATAATACATATATCTAACAAAGACTCCTATAAAGAATATATAAAGATTCCTACAAATCAGTGTTTAAAAAAACACAAAAAACAGAAAACACAACAGAAAAATGGACAAATTACTTGAACACTTCAAAAACAGAGTACACAAATGGCCAATAAAAACACACTCAATACCAGGGAAATACAAATTAAAATCACCAGGAAATACCACTACTATTCCACCTGAATGGTAAAAATAAAAAAGAAAAATATCAAATGCTGTTTAGGATGCAGAATACCCAGAACTCTCATAACCTGTTGGTGGGAGTGTAAACTGACATACTACTCTGGAAAACTACTTGCTAGTATCTACCCTAATGGAATAAATGCACCCCCTAAATCCCAGCAATTCCACTCCAAGATATATAATCTACACAATAGCCTGAAACTGAAAACTACCCACCAAATGTCCATCAAGAGTAGAAAAGACCAAAAAAAAAAGTATATTAACACAATGAAGTACTACAGAGCAATGAAAATGAACACATTACAACTGCTTGCAATAATACACATGATTCTCACAAACAAAAAGCTGTTTTAAAGAAGTCAGATATATTCTAGGTGATTATTCCATTTACATTAAGTTCGAAAACAGGTAACCTAGTCTATATTATTAGAAGCCAGGAGAGTGGATACCCATGAGGGGTCAGAGTGACTGGAAGAGGACATGAGAGGGATCTGGGGTGTTAGGATTTCTCAGTTTCTTGATCTGGGTGCTGTTTCATGGGTGTATACAGTTTGTGAAAATTCATCAAGCTATACATTTATGATGCATGTACTTTTCTCATGTATATTGTAGTTCAATAAAAAGTTTCATTAAACTCAGTATCAGTAAATTATGAGGCAAAGTTTTTCTCAGTTATTTGTGTTGTTGCTATTTGTTTTTTATACATAGGTCCAGAAAATAATGTAATTTTCTGCTTAACAATTCATAAGTACGCCTCCATTTTTAAATACTAAAAATAGTAACTTTTATGGTTATACAAAAACTAGACAAGTCTATGCTAAATAAAACCATTCATCTTAACCGTAAAAACACAACAAAAAAACCTCAAAACTAACATTTAGTGAAACTAAGTCACCATGGACTTCAACATTATTTAGCAAATTTTGTCCACTACTATACTAAGACATACTATGAGTGATAAATTGAAAATACTGGTATATGTAAAATTAACCGGTACACACCAATGTACTTATTCATATATTAAAATGAAAGGCATAGGGTGAGAAAGAATAAAAGCCAAAGGACACTTTTCCACTGATCTAAAATTTATTATTCCAAATTATAAAATTTTTTTATTCCAAATCTAAAATTTATTATTCCAAACTAAGAAAGCAGCTGTACTCTATTTAAAATATTGTGTGGTTTTATTAAGGAGTTAGACAACTCAAAGAGCTTACAAATAATTTATTACCAAAAATAAAAGAGAAAAAAGGAAATGGGGGAAAATGCAGACATAATTCATATAAAATCAGAAATCCTGTTAGATCACAGTAAAGGGAAAGCAAATTAAAGAAGCAAAACAAAACATTCATTAAAGACTAGGGGCCAGCAAAGACAGTGGACTCCATACATGGTTAAAATGGAAAATTATAAAATTATATACATGATGAAACAAGAAGCTGGAGAAGATAACAGAAATACAAGAAAATCCCTCAGTCAATTTTTATTTTTGGAAAAAATAAAAGGTACAAGAAGTTACTATCAGTATCCTTTACCTCATACAGCCAAACAAAAAATTTAGAAATAATGTGAATATTGCTTTTGGGAAGATTGGCCTTCAACATCTCCCATGTAGAACACTTTGGAAATACATTACATTTTTCTTTATCACCAGCTCACTCCATTCCACATTAAGAAATTGCTAATCTGGTTATTAACCTTAAGAGAAGCACAATCACAAATCTTATACCTCCCTAAAAATCAACATTAAACCATAATGTCTTCTACATTATTCCATTCATCATTGTGCTCCAAAATTATTTCTAAACTACATCAATTGGAGTTTTGTGTTGTGTTGCATAACAACAAAAGAACTGATGTTTGGGACTTCCCTGGTAGTGCAATGGTTAAGAATCCGCCTGCCAATGCAGGGGACACGGGTTCAAGCCCTGGTCCAGGAAGATCCCACATGCCGCGGAGCAATTAAGCCCATGTGCCACAACTACTGAAGCCTGCGCGCCTAGAGTCCACACTCTGTAACAAGAGAAGCCACCACAATAAGAAGCCCGAGCACCACAACAAAGAGTAGCCCCCACTCGCCGCAACTAGAGAAAGCCCGCGCGCAAAAACGGAGACCCAACACAGCCAAGAATAAATAATAATTTTAAAAAAAGAAGTGATGTTTTTCCTTACCAATTCATATTCATCAAAAAGTTGTATGAGGGAAGGTGGAATGAACATATGAAAGCCCTGTAAAAAAGCATTAATCTGAGGCTGAATGGCTCTTGTCATTCGAAGTTCAGTGACAAGCTGGACATACTCCGCCTATTAAAAAAAAAAAGTTTCTGTGATGATTTCTTTTTAATTTCACGTACTTAAGACACTATTGATATAATCATTTCTCATTTAAGAGGTAAAGGTTTAGAATTAATTTGGCAGAAATATTCATACACCTCAGCAAACCAGTAATCTACCATTCACTAACCTGTTTAGGCCAAAATCCTAAGAATCAATCACCCAGGTTTCTCTCACACCCTCTATCAGCAAGTGCTATCAGATCTACCTGAAAAAACATTCTCAATCAGACCTTGTCTCACGACCTCCACTTTTAGCACCTTGGTCCAAGCCGTCATCATCTCTCACCCGGATTACTGCAACATCTGGTATCACTGCTGCCTCTGTTTGCCTCTGTTACTGCTTCTTCACCACACCAGAGTGACTTTTTAAAATTACGTATAGATTTTTTATATATAACTCAGATCACATACCCTCCTTCTCAAAACCCTACAATGACTTCCTATGACACTTGGATTGAAGTCCAAACTCCTTTCCTAGTCCATAAGGCCCTAAATGACCCAGCCTCTGCCTTGCTCTCATCTCATTTCCTTCCACTTTCCCCTTTGCTCCCTCACTCTATCCCCCAAACACAAGCTTGCTCAGGCCTCCTTGTCTGTATACTTCCTGGTTTCTCTGACTGAAATCTCTTACTAGACTGTAATCTCTCTGTAAGCAGGGGCTCTGTTTTGTTTACCAGTATATATCCTCAGCTCTTAAAAAAGAGGCTGTCACTTTGTAAGTGTTCAACAAATAATGTGATGAATGCATACATTCTACAAATTCATTTAAAACACACTTAGAACCTAATAAAAAGACTCATTTAAGTGTAGCCTATTTGATTCTGAGTTAAGGGAACCTATTTTCACACATTTTCTTTTAAAATACACATCACCATCATCTAGAACAGTGTCTCTTAAAATTTAACTAAAAAAATGTATTTTGGCTCAAACAAAATGAATTATCATCACTCTCTGTACATAAACCCTACCATTGTCATTATTCATATATTTTAAATTACAACTAAGTGAAACTTTCAGAGTTAAAAGCAATATGCTGTATATGGTTCTCACCTCCCAGGAATGAATGCTCTAAACACAGAGGGAGAAAACCTATTTTAGGCCCCTTCCTTTAATATATATATATTTTTTGGCACTAATCTGATGCTCTGTTCCCCCTGCCAAAAAAACGTCAGGCACTGAGCCAGCAAGTTATACATGATTCCGGCTATGAATTCTCCATACATCTCAGACCTACAGAATTGTCACAATGGATTACTCACAGCTCTCCCCAAACCCTGCACGGCTCCTTCTGCAATCTGGCACGGGGAAAGCTACTGTCTCTGCTATTCAATCTACTCCCACCCCAAATCCCACTCCCAACCGCCCAAAGGTTTTTCTCCATTGTATAGGAATTAATCAGTTTCTACAAGTTACATCCAGGTAGTTACTAGAGAGAGGGAAATAGAAATGTGTGCCAAACAATCAAACAGAAACACAAACTAAATTTTCAGGATCCAATCTAAAAAAATAATATATATAACACACTTCCAAGTAATAACCAGCAATGATTTCAGCATTAACACGTGATTATCTTTTAACTGATGTCTGTTCTAACTAAACTGCTTAATGAACATACTAAAATTTTTCTCCTCCATTCATTCATTAATAATTATATATTTCTCTCAAGATGTTTTGCTTTTATAATCTTAAGGTACTATTCACTAATAATTATTCAAGACCTCAAATTATGAAGCATGAACTGCTCAAGTACACTTTATTTTAATTTGCCATTGTATTCCATATTTATCAGAATAGTACACACTCTTTTCTATCAATTAATTCCTATTATTTCCTCATACATTCTATTTTTAAAAATTAATTTCACAAATATACTAATGTCCCCTCTAATATTATTTCCCACATTTATTTTTGTAGCTCTGGCCCACAGTTATTAGATATCAATTTGTGAAAAATCAGCTCCTCCAGATACCAGTCTCCACATTAAGTTAATTTAAATATGGACAAATCTTGGTCTAATTATTTCTCAGTAAAATAAAATCCAAGCCATCACAAAGTCTCCTGAGTTGTTTAGTAAAGTAAGAGTTTTCCAGGTAGTTGAAAGACAACTGTGTTTAAGAGAAAAAATCTGAATCCAGCTGCTTCTAAAATGTTTCCCTGCCTCCTTAAAGAGCACATCCTCAGAGAGAGTAACACACATTAACGTGTTCTTGATGACACAATTATTACTATGAACATCCACTATTATCATACACTAACATTCTGACGGTTCATACTGTACAGAAATACACTGGTTGCATTCCCACCACCTACGAAGGCATCGAAGTGACTCATCCACACACTTCATGCCCTTGAGTAACTACATCAAATACCTTAAATGCTCTAAGGAAACAGTCAACATGTAGATGACAATCAGTCCACAAAACACTGGCATAAAGAGTTGTTCAAATAAACATTAAATATAAAGGAAACCTAAAATCCCACTTCATTCTAAGGTATTTAAAGAGATGATATAACTTGGGTGTGGGGGGTATTTTTATCCCCAACAGATATATACGTGCTCCCACCTGAGTTGTACTGTTAATTCTTTGAGGGCATAAGATAATACCAGATGTCACAGAAGTAAATTGGAGAATTAACTATACTAAAGAATCTGAGTTAGTACCTGTTCTGGTGAAATAGTTATGTTTATAGAAAGCTTTCAACTTACAAAGCCTCAGCATAGAGATAACAAAATTAAAAAGAGCCTTAGCAACTTTTTCCTAGCTCAACCTCTGAGCCTCATAACTGATATAAGATAGGTAAGCAAAGAATAAGTGCCAAGGGAAAAATAAAAACACTAAGATTGAGATTCAACTTTCAGATATTACGTTCCAGTTAAATTGCATGTCTAGTTACAGAAACATTTTGTTTTAATTATCTCCTAGTCTTCTGAATGTGTGCAATGAATAATATCACCCCTTGGAAATCTTCCTTAAAATTTTAACTTCTTTTCAGGCTTTGAATCTAAATTATGTCTTCTTATGAGGAGTGGTGGTAACATTGAAAATTGACACCTTTTTTTTGAAGCTATTTTTCTTCTTGAAAATTTTTTTCACGATTTTTGAAAGAGATATATATGTATCATGTTTACTTAACTAATAGTTAACTTTTAATAGTGAAAGCAAAATGTTATCCCAAGTAAGCTGATAAACTTGGACATACTTGTAAAACTGTTTGAAATAGTTAGTTTTACTTTTAAATTAATAGTTTAAAATGGCATTATGACTGGCATAATTCAGTTCACCATTTGAATATAAATGCTTTAGTAATAAAAGCTTCTTTCCTGGGCTTATCCACTTGATTATTATTGCTGTGGTATGTAAGAGTTTTCACTGAAAATTTCTCCACTGAAAACTCAAAGGATACCAGATTTCTTCTGCAGGAATAAGCAGATATAAGAAAAAAGAGAGGCACATTTTTACAATGTAACATTTTCCAATAACTTATCCTTTACCAATATATTCTTATTTTTAAGGTCACTAATTAGTTATAAAGATTGATAGTCTGATAAAAATCCTATTACATCAGTTTCCATAGAACAAATTCAGTCATTGAAAATAGTGACTCTTCAGGTTACCATTACAAGGATTTGGTGATTTTTTTTTTTTTTTGCGGTACATGGGCCTCTCACTGTTGTGGCCTCTCCTGTTGCGGAGCACAGGCTCTGGACACGCAGGCCCAGTGGCCATGGCTCACAGGCCCAGTCACTTTGCGGCATGTGGGATCTTCCCGGACCGGGGCACGAACCCGTGTCCCCTGCATCGGCAGGCGGACTCTCAACCACTGCGCCACCAGAGAAGCCCCGGATTTGGTGATTTTTAAAGTGAATTTTTAGAATATACCGACTAAAATGCAGAGGAAAGTATGTCCTCCTTCACTGACAAAAAGATACTAAAGATAATTTAAAACCCAATCTAAAAATACATACATACACTCAATATGGAGAACCTTAGACCTAAACTGTTTTAAAAGTTTTCAGAGTAATAAAAAGATCTCTCATAGTATACTTTTCTGAAGATACACATAGGAATCCACTTTAAGTCAATAATCTATATAGACAAGCTTGTATTTTGTACTTGGATGGGTATCAAATGTGCTTGTATGTGAAATAAATCAAATTAAACTAGCAATAAAAGATAAGGTATTAACCAAATAAAAATGAAATGGAGGAAAACATACTAAATTTTTAAATTGAACTATAGTTGATTTACAATGCTTTGTTAGTTTCAGATGTACAGCAAAGTGATTCAGTTATATATATATATGTATATATATATATTCTTTTTCATACTCTTTTCCATTATAGGGTATTACAAGTATTGAGTATAGTTCCCTGTGCTATACAGTAGGTCCTTGTTGTTTATTTTATATATAGTAGTATGTATCTATTAATCCCAAACTCCTCATTTATCCCTCCCTCCCCATCCTTGCCCTTTGCTAACCATAAATTTGGAAAACACACTAAATTTGTATTTGCTACCTTGTTCATATTCAGTGCCTTAGTATATGAGAGGCCCAGCAGTTACACAACCATACAGACCTCGATTAAAACTGAGGGTCTACCAGTTACCGATTTTGGGCCCTTAGACAGTTATTTGACTGTCTATATTCTAAAGAAATATAGTGTCATAGTTACAAGCTCAGGCTTGAAATTTATAGACTGTCTGGATTCAAAACCACCACTTATTAGTCTTATGATTTGGAGGAAAGCTACTTAACCTCTCTATGCTTCAGTTTCCTCACCTGTAGAAAGGGGTATCTATACCTCATAGGATTGTTTAAGTGTAAGTTAATACACATAAAGCACTTTTAACAGTGCCTAGCACATTATAAACACCTAATACATGTAAGACGCTTTTATTATTAAAGCTGTTCCCACACTGAATGAATAGAAATAACTATCTCAAAAGGCTGTTAGAGTAAATGAGAAATGCATAAAGAGCACAACTCGAATAAATGAAATATAACAAAGTACTCAATAGGCAGTGGCTATTATCATCACTAGAGAATACAACTGATGTGATGAGGTTGATGACTAGGAGAATGACACCACCCCCCATCATTCTAGAGCCCATCCACCTAAGTGGCTCATCCTGGAGTCCTTCTTTTTCACCTTCCCAAACAGCTAATTACCATGTTCTACAAATTCTACATCCTCAAAAGATGTCTCATTTTCTCCATCCTCACTGCCACTGTCTTATAAAATCACTCATGCATGCTCCCCAGAGCAACGCCACAATCACCTATCAGTTGCCCTGACTCCAATATTGCCCCATTTCAACCCATTTTTCACACTCCAAGTTGAGATTGGTGTTGTTTTTCTTAAAAAACATAAATTCAGTCATGTCAGTGCCCTCTACAGCATCTGCAATCATCCCTAAGCCTTCAGAATAATTTTCAAATTTCTAATTGTGGATGCAAAGTCTTTCAGAATTTGGTCCCTGTCTACCTCTCCCACCTTATCTTTTCCCACTCATTTTCTTTGAAATCTACGCTAAGATCTACAACTCTGACCTACCTGTGGTTCCCCAAACAGACCATGCTCTGCCATCTCTGTGCCCTTCTATAAGCCCAGAACATGTCCTTCTCCCTTTCCTCACTCCTATCTGACCACTTAATGCTTCTCCTCTATAACTCAACTTCCATGCCACCTCCTCCATTCCCTGATATCTGTCCCATCTCACCCCCCCCATTTTGTTCTCTCCCAGACTTAATGAACTTTATGATTAGTATGGTAAAAGTGTTGTTAACACTTAAAAGCCATGGAGCTTACTCTTCAGTACTAAGAGCTAGAACTGAAGGCCTAGCAAAAATATGTCACTCCTAACTTAAGGTTTTATGCTTCCACAATTTTATCGTTTGGTCAAGAATTTAAAAGTGAAAGTGAAAAGTTAAAGCAAAACTTTTAAAAATGCTGAAAATACTATTTAAATGTAAATGTTCAGCTCCTGGTAATTCAGCCATTTTCTAAAGTGAAACCAAGTGATCTTATTTTTTCCTCTAGATTTTAAAACAAATCATTGACAGATATAAAATTGAATTTAAAAGAGAATTTTATTTCAATTATGGAATATATACTGTTCTGCCTACATTACTTGTATTTATTAATATACTTCTTTTTAAACAAAGGTATTTTATCTATTTGGTTTCAGTCTACAATTACCAAAGCCTTTCAATAAAATTTAGGAATAAATGACTCCCCCATGTGGAGATTAGCTTACATCGACTTTTTCTTACTAACATGCTTGGCAAGTCACTTAAGCTTCAATATGCTTAGAAATTCTGACGTTGATGCCAAATGTGACAATTATAACTTTATACCTAAAGTTAAGTAAGTAAAAGGCTGACCCTAGAGTAACAGAAAAAGTTCATGACAGAAATGTATGTTAAAATATAACAATAACACCTCTAAAGAACACGGTTTGAAAATTTTATTTGTAAATTGAATAATTTAACAATTCTAAATCAAGTGATCAATTTAAGATGTTAGTATGTTTTTAAAGATTTTTAATTTTAAAAAATCAGGTTGCTTATTGCACAAACATTAAATGCTTAAGCATCAACAATTTGATATACAATTACACTTGACCTTTACTAGTAATATTAGAAAAATGAGAGGCTCATTTTATTGTGAGAAATGTTTGTATCAGAAAAACAAAAGCTGAGAATTAACATATTAATGATTGAGATCCTGCTTTTACCTCTATATTACTGAACCTCATCATCAAAGTTAGCCTGTCATTAACAAAACAATGTCAATAATATAGTTAAATAAAAACGTGCTAAACTTAGAAACAAAACATCCAAGCTCTTTCATGTTACAGCAATATTCCAGCCTCAGGCTAGACTCACGATCAAGCCTCAATATAAGTGTATTCTTATTTGTTATTATTTATTAAATATCTTCCTTCTTTCTAGATTTTAATACAAAAACACAAATGCAAAAGAATAAAATACATATTTTAAAAATCTAAACAAAAATCATGTCATATGGAAGAGAGGCTGTTAGGAGATACAAGTATAAATATAGCTATCTACCATGCAATTGTTAATGAGCCTTTCCACTTTTCATATATCTGAGAGGAGTGACAAATCCAATCACCAGAGAGTGTATTCACAGATAGGAATCATGTATGAGATTCTCTCATGAAAAGCAATCACTTGCTTATAATGAAGATTTTATGACTTCATTACCCCTAATTGAGAGGAGGTAGCCACTGTAAAATAAAATAATAAATGCACTATGAGGTGGACAATCTAATAATTAGAAGATTTTATAAAAATTTCCATTCACTGGCAAGTTCATATAGATTCAAAAAATTATTTTAAGCATTTTACTATTTTAATCTTCCAGAGTTTAACGTGACTCATTATATTAAATCAAGTAAGATCTACCTCAGTGTGATTACTTTTACTAACAGGATGAAGAACCTTATACTTGAAACTAGGAGACCTGGGTTTTGGCCCCAGCTTTACCATTAACTCTTCAGGCTTCAGTGTCCTCATGTGTAAAACGAGAGGGTAGACTAAAACTTTACTAAGTATAAATGTACAAAAACTCAGGTCCTGATTTTATATTCATAAACTAAATTTTTTTTTTAAATATGTAAAGTATCTAAGTTTCAAAAGGTAAAATTACCTAGCTTAATTTAGGTCTTCATTCCTATAGATATGTGAAACCTAGGAACCTATTTTTATAGAAAACTATCCAATAAAAACTAACTTTTGTGTTGTGTTTATCAGTTTAAAAAATGCTGGTACCAATTCTGTATGGGAGGTATTATTATCCCAAGCACACAGAATAGAAAACTGAGGCTCAAAGAGGTTAAAACACAGCCAAGTCTTTTGGCTTTAAAAAAAAAAAAAAAACAAACTACATTTTACTATATCTCTAGTCTACAAAATGATTCAGTGGACATTACTTTTTAAGTTAGCTGATTCTGAAGCTGTCTTGGAATTATAATCCAATAAAAGGAAAGGAAAAAGGTTTTAGTCCTGTTTTACCAGAAGTTGCTACTGGTAAGTGATAGAACTGGAATTCCAAAACCAGATTTTCTGACTCCCAATTTCCTACATAATCTATCAAAACATAAAATAAAGCTGTATTATATATTAAAGTAATATTAACTTTCAACAGTGTAATTTAAAACGTGCACCAAGTTTTTAAAAAATATGTACAAACAGGAGATATAATAATAAATAAAAATAATCAAGTTATAAAGTTAAAAAAAGATCAAGTTCAGAGGTCCCGTAGAATTTACTGCATCCCAAAAGTGTGTACAAAGTTTAAACACTGGGATTTCTTCTCTCTATTGGAACTATTAATATCGTACTTCTAAAACATGAAATAGGGATCTAGTGCAAATATGATATTGATGTAAGTTTATATTTCTAATCAAATGTTTTGATATGCAGATGCCCAACTTACACAATCAACTGAACTATGCTCTAGGCTGCTTCAGGAACTGCCTCAGCATATCTAACACAACAATGAAATGATCCTTTATAATTCGAAGTCTGGTATTTGACGGTTTAGTTAATTTAAATATTTTATCTGTTATAAATGTTACAAAAGTCTAACAGTAAAAGTTTTCCTGGCTAGTGCCAGGAGACTTAGAGTAATTAGCAAACTATCAGGGCTAAGTTACAAACAATGGCTAAGGTAAAAATTCAAATACTTACTTTGTTATTTTGTGTTACAAGAATACTTCCACCCCCAGGTTTCAAAGGCACCTCTTCCATTGCTCCAAACACATCAGTCTCAACAGAAAAAGTTAGTTCTAGACCCAAATCACTAATATCATTATCTAAAATCCACTGCAAATTTTTGGCATATTCTGGATCAATGGATGCCACATCTTGGTAATTCACAGGAATACCTAAAAATGCAAACATACAGCAGTTATATTCTAAATGTTTCTGCCTTTCCTTATCTGTTTAATGGTGAAATACTGCCCTCTACAGATACTCTGTAAAACTGCAAAATATAATCCAATTCACAGCATGATTTAAATGAATGTTAATTCCTGAATTTGGAAGTCTGTAAATTTAAGCTTACATTTCTACAATGTAACCTTTCTTTGAAACAGCTATTCAGGAACTTATTATAAACTTTAAAAAGTGCCAATTCTCTTAAGTATACTCATATTAAAATGCATTTTTAGCATAAACATACACACTAAAATGGAAAAAAAAAACTTTTTTTAATCAAAAATGTAGGTTATTTTTTCTCTCCCTCAGGCCCCCAAATGCCTTACATACACAGTCTCCAATCAAAACAAAAATTATTCACCCAAAATGCCACCATTTATCTACTTAATTTTCGCTAGAGCCTACAAGAAAAACACTTTAAATAAATGCCTAAGGAAATAACAATGGAGCCATACCAAGAATGTGCTTGTAGAATGATCTCGTGAAGTAAATGTTCACCAGCTGCCTATGGTTCAGAGCTAATCCCAAGATCTGTCCAGCAAACCGGAAATAGTTCAAGTGATCGGGATTTACATAGGAGTTGCTATTAGGTTGAAAAGTTGTTCCTATTAAAATAAAGACAAAATAATTTATTTTTAAGACCATGCATAAGAGAGATCATTTCAATGCAGGTAAATTAGTTCACATACAACTTCAGCAAAGCTAAGGTTACATTATGTATAAACGTTCTTCAGCGAAGAAAGTTCTTTGTGGAATATTTAATAGTGGAATTGGAAATACTAATCATTAATTCACACATTTATCAGAATAAGTCATTCTGCAGAGAGAAAATTTTAGAATACTTTTCACTGAAAGTAGTTGGAAGAGGTGTCAGAGAGATCCTAGAAATACATACACACAATAGTGGAATTGGAAATACTAATCATTAATTCACACATATCAGAATAAGTCTTCGTGCAGAGAGAAAATTTTAGAATACTTTTCACTGAAAGTAGTTGGAAGAGGTGTCAGAGAGATCCTAGAAATTCATACACACACACACACGTTTTCCCAGGCAGTGTGGAAATAACTACTTAGGCTATGAATTAGGGCAGACATTGTTTCATTCACCTATACATGCCCAGCGTAGCAGGTATGCACTACCATTTTGCTCCTTAAGGAACTGAGCACTACAAGAGAATAACTAAAATTTTTAAATGTACAACTATTTTCCTCATGACAAATAATCAAGTTTGAATAAGTACCACTGAGGTATAAAAGTAAAAACAGCATTAGCAATAGTTATTGACTATTGCCAAACTCTAGTGCAATGGAGGGTAATTCCAGTTACATGAAAAAAAAGTCTGGAAATAAGATAGTGGTGAATGTACTTAATGCTACTGAAGCGTACACTTTTAAATGGTTAAAATGGTAAATTTTACGTTATGTATATTTTACCACAATAAGAAAGTCTCAAAACCAAAAATGTAGTGCAATGGAAAAACCTAATACCAAGATCTCAACTTTAAATAACCTCCCTTATTTTTTCTGTGTGACCACTACCTCTCATTCATTCAACAAATATTTACTGAGTTCATGCTATTTACTTCTCTTCTAGGCACCTGGGCAAAAAGAAAGACTGATAAATCTAATGAAATAGCATCAAAAATAAATAAACAAAGGAAAAGTGAAAGTATTGGAAAGTGAAATGTTTGGCCATTGAGCATACATATTTTAACTCTTTGTGCTTTGCTGGTCTTTGATTTATCAGTGCTGGCACTGGACTATATTGGCATGACCAGTAAGTTTACTTAGATACAAGGTACACATTTGGAAGCTTATGGCTGAATGACTTAAAAGGGCCACATGAAGCTAGTCATCCACTGTTAAGTACCTTTTGAGAATCATTCCCAGTCATGATATAAGATTGGGTATTAAAAGTCAAAGCAGGGACTTCCCGGTGGTCCAGTGGTTAAGAATCCGCCTTCCAATGCAGGGGACGCGGGTTCGATCCCTGGTGGGGTAACTAAGATCCCACATGCTGCGGGCAACTAAGCCCACGTGCCACAACTGGAGAGCCCGCCCACCGCAACTACTGAGCCCGCGAGCTCTGGAGCCCACGCACCACAACTAGAGAGCCCACATGCCACAACGAAGACCCAGCACAGCCAAAAAAAAAAAAAGTCAAAACAAAGTTTTGTGAGATGAAGAAAGACTTCAAAGACAAACATAACCATTATTCCAAAAATACAATATTCTGCGAATAATCAGAAATACTTTTACCTATTTCCTCCCCTAGGTCTGTGTATAATTCCTTCTCTAAGTACTTTCTGGGAAATTTGGGTTATTAAAAAGAATAGATACAGAGAAGTCAAAAGAAAAAAAGGAAACACACGGGGGGAAAGGTCTTCAGGAAATTAATAATTTTTAGCTCGAAAGTGAATTAAGATAGAATATAAAGTTTATGTCATGTTTTAAGTTCAAAACCAATAAAACTGTGACATTTCATCATCTCAGAAAAACCCTATTCAATAAGAAAATATCATTTTCACAGAATAGTAATAATAGCATCGGGCTTCCTTGGTGGTTCAAGCCGTGGTCCGGGAAGATCCCACATGCCGCAGAGCAACTAAGCCCGTGCACCAAAAGTACTGAGCCTGTGCTTTAGAGCCCGCGAACCACAACTACTGAGCCCATGTGCCACAACTACTGAAGCCCACGCACCTAGAGCCCATGCTCTGAAACAAGAGAAGCCACCGCAGTGTGAAGCCTGTGCACCACAATGAAGAGTAGCCCCTGCTCGCCTCAACTACAGAAAGCCCACATGCAGCAATGAAGACCCAACACAGCCAAAAAAAAAAAAAGAATAAATAAAATTAATTTTTAAAAATATTTTTTAAAAAATAACAATAATAGCATCTAATATTTATTTCTGATTTCTATGTGCAAGGCACTGGGCTAACCATTTTTACACAACAGCTGATTTCCCACTATATTATAAAACATAGGTTATCACCATATTCAAATAAGGAAATCAAGGTCCAGAAATACTACATTTATTGGATCAAGATCATAGCAGAAAAAGGGACAGAGCTAGGATGCACATTCAGTGGAATGTGCCAAAGGCCAAACTCTTAGCCACTCTACTACACTACTATTGCTCTATAGTAAGCATCTTAATTTAATTAGAAAGCAAGTTTTAAAGAAATTACTACATACATTAGGTCTATCCAAACATTCCCCACATTTAGGAACCCTGAATGTAATTTTCTTCTTGTCAACTAAACGTAAGAACATGAAAATATTTCATCTATATTTTATTAATATTACAGCCCCAAAGAGAAGACATACATGTCTTACAAAAAGGACGAATCAGAAACTATGGTCTATGTGCTTCATCATATTACCTGCCATAAATTTGCAGAATAAGCACCTCAACTAATGATTCCACACCAAATCTGTTTTTCAGATATGAAACTAAATAAACAACTCAGAATAAGTGACTATAAAGAAAAGAAATAAATCTAAAATACAATGTTTTAATGCTAAATCTTGCTGCAAAGATTAGGCCTAAAAAACTAGGGCCTCATCATACTTGTCGTAAAATCACAAAGACACTAAGTTCATCTCAGAGCAAAGAATCAAAGGTTACAGAATTAAAGTAGGAAGTCCCATATTCCTAAATAATTTCAAATACACTGAATGTGTCTGAGGAGCCCATCACATAGGTGAACATCTGCAGTTCTCTAGCATCACTGCAGCCCACCCCCGCTTGCCTCTCATAGAGTCATCCTTCTTATTCAATGGAGATTTGCTGCTGGTTTGGTTGGATACAATAGGAAACTACAATTAATAAGACACTCTCTCCTTATAGAAGAATTTAAACATTGGGAAAGAAAAATTTTTCAGGAAATAAAAGCAACTGAACAAAGCATTTAAAAACTGAAATCCCTGAACAAAGCATTTAAAAACTGAAATCCCACCTTCACTTGGATGTAAGTCTTTATTAAGTTAAAGAACTCTCAGGTATATCTTATACAAATGAGGTGGTAACCATTGCCATTTAGCGTATCAAATGACAATTCAGTAGGTAGCAAACATCATTTCAATGATGTTTTTATTTGCATTACATGGTTAAATAAGAGCTTTTTAGTTACCAAGTCTTAATCTTTTAAAAGGGCTAAAAACAAAGTTACTATAAACAAACAGATTATAAGTTAAGATTTAACACACCATGATTTCTAGACTTTGTTTTTAATGACCAATAACTTTTAAGAGTTGGAAACTCAAATAGGGTTAGCAAATTTTAACTTTTCCAACACGGACTTGTATTTTTTTTAAGTTCATCTACTAGCACGATTTTATAAAAGGAAATTTTAACTCAAGAAAGGTAGACTAAAGGACGATCCTTAAATTGAATAAATTTAGTTTTATTTTATACAAAGAACTGATGAAAACTTCCTTGAGGCCAGCACTAGTCCTTGAGACAAGCATTTGAGAACCAACTGTTCAGAGGAAAGAATGCTAGGCTGAGTCAGGTTCCACTCAAGATCCTACCGCTCATTAACTGCTAACATAAACAAAAACCCTGAATTTCAATTTCCTCTTCTATGAAAAGGGAATATCCAACCACCCTAGCTCACAGGGCTAGTATAGGAATCAAAGGATAAAATGCACTGAAGTAGTCTGAAAATGTGACAACTCACAGAAAAAGTCATCTAGACTGTACAACTTACCATCAGCTGACTGGGTAAACAATGCATAATCAGGATTGACTATCTCATTAGACAGAATATCAAACCACTCACGCACAACACCTTGACCCTGAGTTCAAGAAAATAAGATTAAGTATCAACAGAAATATATGGTGAAAATTTTTTCTAAATAATAACAACATTAAAATTATATTAAATTTCTTCCATTATCAATTAAATATTAAACTTCACTGAAGGGCATTTCAATCTTTTAGAGACAGTGATCTTAACAACACTTATTTTTGTACCCACCATGCCTTCTTCCCCATGGAACCGTACAGCAATTCCTTGCTTTAGCTTTGCACAATTTGCTTTTGACACAACTTCACAGCTACTCCTAAAAATAGAATCTAAATATGTAGCATTGGTTAATTTTACATATTAAAATTTACAATAACTAGTATTTTGTGCCTCACACACACATCACTTTGTTAAACATACCTCTGTGAACTAGCAGGATATCATTTTCATTCACTGGCCTGTGCACCATGTCTGAATCTGGCTGTCCTGAATGCAAATGTTCATAGAACCATTCACAGCGATCTTTAAATGGCTACCCCAACAAATAACAGTGAAATATGTTAGCAGTATTTCAGTCACTTAACTGTCAGATTTACTTAACTAGCATGCTAAATGCCCTTTCTACAAATAATCATTCTTACACCTTTATTTATAATAAGTAGTTCTAGATAAGGTTCTGACATTACATCCACTATTCACAAAAAGGCAGATCTGAGCTGAAACACTTTGACTACCTAGAGAGCATATTTCTTTTTATTCCCTATATTATCAACAGAAAAGACTTGATAAATTAAAAAGAATTCAATATCAGACATACAATTGAACACACTCTCAATTTCTTTTAAACCCAAGAAGGCTTGTAAGAATGAATTTCCACATCCAGAAAAATTATGTTGCATGTTCATTTAATTTTCTATGAAAATAATCTTTATGGCTAATTGTAATTTCCATCCTCTGAATATATGCAGCAACTAGAAAGGAATTTGTTATCCTTTTTTCTTCCCTTCCTCCACCCTAAAAACTGAAGAATAAGATCTCGTGAACAGTAAATAAAGTCTCTACCTTTTGTTCTTTTGCCAGATATGCAAACTGTAAGTGATTTGTAATTTTATTCATCAGAAAGTATTATTGAGTACCTAGGATGTGTAAAATGTAAAAATTTCATTGCTGAAAACTGTTTAATACACTTAAAGAGATGAGAATAACATTGGAACAATATAACACATAATGATATCAAGTTCTAAACAGTGAAGTACAGACCACAGTGCACTAAGAATTCAGAGATTGTGCGGATAAGTGGAGTACAAAGGCTTCATGAGGTCCTGGGTAGGTCTTGCTCAAGCAGGAGGAAAAGAAAGCACACCAGGCTAAGGGAGACAAGGAAAAAGGCTCAGAAGGAGAAACTGTGACTCCACGGAAGATGCAGTGAAGGCGCCGGCATAACTCTACACATATTGAAAGAAGGAAGTTTTTGTAAGTAAATCAAGGACATAATTATGGATCCTTCGAATCAAGTAAAAGACACAGTGGCCACTGAAGATACTTGGCCAGAGGAATAGCATGGTAAATGCACTCACTAAAATGAGAGTACTACCAGGATAAAGGGAGGCCATCTAGGCAGCAGTTGAAATAATACGTATAGACTGATACGGTCCTGGTCATGGTAGGAAAGAAGAACAATGAAGTAAATCTGAAAGACATTACTCCTCTGAATAAAGAAGAAAAGTAAAAGATCTCTAGGGGCAGAACTTAAAATCAGAAACAGCTTAGAGGGGGAACCCCAGCACCACCACCGCCTACCCCACTCCTAGAAGGCACTGGTGGAAGACAACGAATGAGGTTTTATATGTTCTGAATTTAAGGTTACTTAGGATATAACTACTAAGAGCTTAGAAATAAATACTAGAACGTTCTGCAGCTGAGACATGAGAAAGAGAGTCATGAACAAAGCTGAAATGGGAGACAAGGTAATGTCCCTTGTTCAAGAGATTAAAGACACAGGGACAAACACCAAGAACAGAGAAGTTTATGATCACAGGTCAGGATTGAGAATTTGCTTATTAGCAAATGATACACACAGCTAGAAAAGTCAAAGGAGAACCAGGGTGGTACAATACCACAAAAGCCAAAAGTTTCAAGAGATAAATACGATTCATGTCCAACACCACAAAGAGGTTCTCTCTCATGCAATTTTTAGGATACCAGTAAATTTCTTCATCTGAGCTAAACTAAACATTTGTTTTCTTCAAAAGACTTAAACATCTTTTTATTAATTCTTAATAAAAATATTTTTATGAAAATAACTGGTGCAAGATTAATTTTTGCCTTTTAATGCCTGTTCTTTCAATAAGAAAAGAGTAAATGCTCCTTTCTCCAAAGTTAAATGTATAATTTTGTCCATACTTCTAGCAGTTTTCCACATTTTAAATAAAACGCTGCTGTTGTTATATTCATTACTGGTCATATAAATAAAATATTTCATTTTTAGTAAACAGGCTAGAATGTTAAGTGCTTGAAATTTTAATGCTGATTATTCCTAAAACTTAGGTAAAAGAGGAGAGAAAAAATATTACACAGAATTAATGTATTTAAATATGGGCTTTGAAGTTTGATAAACATGGTTTGAAATCCTAGATCTGCCACTACTAGGTTTGTGATCTTAGGGGAATTACAAGTTCTCTCAGAACTTTAGTTTTCCTACCGGTAAAATGGGGAAAATAATACCACTTCAAGGGCTAATTCTGAGGATTAAATGAAATAATGCAAATACAGAACAAAATAATAATAATCATAAATTAACTAACGTTTATTAAAGCATCTATAAGCCAGGTACTGTTTTAAGCACTTTACATGCATTTTCACATTTAATCCTCACAACACTCTGAGAAAAAGGGACTTTTATCATCTCCATTTCATAGAAGAGAAAAATGCAGCACCAAGAGGTTAAGTAATTTGTGCAAATACTCAACTCCCAGAACGCTAATAGATGTTGTTCTTATCACTCACAACAACGTAAAAATTATTGCGAATAAGTATTTTAAATGACAGTAAACTTATCTGCCATTATAAGATATTAAATATTAAATTCTATCCTTCATATAGAAAATGTGGACCATTTGAAAATAAATACAAGTGGCAATTTTTTAAAAGTAATTCAAATGTAACATTAAAAGGTACAAAATGCTACCTTCAAAAGCTAGTAAGTTATCTGTTAAGATCAAAACATCCACACACACATCCATATACCTACAAAGCCAAAGACCACATTTCTGTATGTAAACTTTCTGAGTACCTGCATTTCCATAAAATAATTCACAAAACAGGACTGATTACAGAGGCTCTTCTTAATAGTATTTGTACAGCAATACAAAATGTCTCTCCCTTTAACTAGCAGGTCACCTGAAAACCACCAACAGAAGAAGAAGTCAATCCCTTAGCAGAGGTAGCTGTTTTTGTTTTTACTTTTTTTAATAGCCTCCAAGTTACAGAAAATTTCTTAGTATAGTACAATGGTGGGGTTTTTTTTCCCCTAAGGTGAAAGTAAACTGCTAACATGAATAGTACAATGGGGTGTTTTTTTTCCCCTAAGGTGAAAGTAAATTGCTAACATGATGTCCAGTTACCCCTAAATACTTCAGTGTGTATTTCCTACAAACAAGAGAATTCTCCTACACAAGCAGTTTACAATCATCAAAATCAGGAAACTGACACTGATATATTACTATATCTAATCTTCAGACCCCATTTCAAGTTTTGCCGGGATCCATATAATGTCCTGTATAGCATAATGACTCATGAACTGCGTTCAGTTGTCCGCTTTCATTCTGGCACAGCTGTTCAGTGTTTTCTTAATTTTCATGACCTACATTTAAAGATTGCAGGTCAGTTATATTGTAGAATGTCTCTCAGTTAGAGTTAGTCTGATGATTTCTCATGATTAAAGTCGGGGTATGCATCTTTGACAGGAATATCAAAGAAGTGACACCGTATTCTCAGTGCATCCTATCAGCTGGCACACTGGTATGGCTGCTGTGATCACTGCCAAGCTTCTCCACTGTAAAGTTCCTTTTTAATCTTTGTAATTAGTTAGTATTCTAAGAGGAGCTACTTTGAGACTATAAAAATATTCCACCCTTCATCAAACTTTCCATTTATTCATTAATTCTTTCACTATAGACTTACAGGTTCCGACTTTATTTGCAATATTTTGCCATCATTATTTATTTTGATGTTCAAATTGTTCCAGATTTGGCCAGTAGAATCCATTCAAGTTGATTCTGAACCGTTTTGACATAACCTCATAATTCTCTACACAACTTTCTGGCACAATAAGATGATCCAGGCTCATCTTGTACTTCCTCTGAATTAGCCATTTCTCCAACAGGCCCTCGTTCATTGAGAATGGTATTCAGAGACCAAGAAATGGATGCCAGGTTTGCTGTATCTATCTAACCACATAGGAAACTGTAAGTTCACAGTGATATCTCCAATTCCAATCCAATAGTACATGATTCATCGTTTTCCTCCATTTTTTAACTTTCTCCAACAGTGAGACACATTATCTTTACTATACTGACTTATTCAATCAACTGCCCCACCTCATATATAATCAATCTTCTGTCACTGACACGGACCATTCACTGCATAGATACCCTATACTCCACTCAAGCTTTGTCAAATTACTCTGAGCAACTGTCACCACCCTGCACACTGGACATCCTCCATATACCGTGCCAACTCACATACTCCGTGCTGAGCTCCTCTTCTACACAAACACCCTCCTTAGCATGTCCAAGCTCCTCACTGGGCCACCACTATGCATGTGGACACCCGCACTGGTCAGGCAACAAAACCCCCTCTGTGGGTCAAAAAGGTGGATAGCTAATGCAGATGCTTTTGCAGGAACGGAAGAGGGAAAATGAAGTGAAAAGCAGAGACAGTATTGAATATAGCAAACTACCTCTTCCAAAAACTTAAAGCTTCTTTCACCTATAATCTCATTTACCCTAGAATGGAGTAATTTAGTGTAGATTAAGAAAATGAACTTAAGAACCAGATGGACTTTTAAATTCTGGTTTCCCCACTTAGTAGCTGAATGACTTAAACAAGTTGCTTAACCTCTCCGGCTTCAGTAAAAGAGTACCTATCTCACATGATTGTTACAAAAATAAAATAATCTATGTGAAAAAATGTATGGAACCTGACATAAAGTTAGCATTAAATAAATGCAAGTTATTACTACTACCTTATCTTTTACATCATCATTATTAAACAGATGCCAAAGGAGACCTATATATATGTGTATAATTTTATAAAGATTAGTTCTTAGCTTTCTTTAATTTCTAAAAGGATCAGTGTCCCTGAAGACAATTTAAAATATCTATAGCCTTTATCTTATGACTACTAACCAAACCATTACCTCCAGTCTAGCTTACATTTCAGACAAATTATTTCCTAAAACTTTGTAGGATCATGTCATTCTCCTAAAATTATTAGTGGCTCCTGACAGCCTAGCAAATGGAGAGTCTGCAATCTGGCGATCAATGTTCCATACATTATAACCCTAATCTACCTTCCCAGAATTACATCTCATTCCTCACCTACACAAAATTTCTGCTTTAACCCACTGTATTTTAATACACTTTTCCATCTATATGTCCTGACCCATATCTTGGCTAGAATGTTCATCTTCCCCATTTACTCCTTTCAAAATTTTGCATGTTTTTTAGATTAAAATCCACCTCCTCTTTGAAATCTCCCTTGACTACAGCAGCTAAAAGCAAGCTCTTCCTCCCTTAAACTCCTAAAGAATCAGGTCATACTGTAATTACTGTATTTTACGGGTACGTTTATTATCTCCCCTGCTAGACTGAATTAAGATCCCCTTGGAGACAGAACATATCCTTTCTATCTCCAAAACAACTACCATTTATTGAACATATATACAAGTCACTATTTAAAACTTATTATTCACCATGGAGGTTTTATGAGGTTGGTGTCATTATCTCTGTTTTACAGATGAAGAACCCAAGGCTCAAAGATGTTAGAAATATGCCCAAAGTCACATAGCTGCTAAGTAGCAAAACAAGCTTTTCCCAAGCATGTTTCATGAAACATGAGATATATGGAATGAACCCTCATCAGGGAAAGCTCTCAGGTCAATTAAGTTTGGAAAACTAACAAAGCTAAATTATTATTTTTACCAAAGGGCTTCTCAAAGCCTTTAGCAAGCTGCTGATATGCTTTATCAATCTCCAACAGGGCATGTGTTATACTTCCCAAATGTATTTGGGGATAAAATCCCCAAGGACCATCAGCCTTATAGGACTAGTGTTCCATTTCAGCAATGTGGCAACATGTTGTCTTTGCACATAGTAGGCACTCAATGCACATTTCTTAAAGTTACTCCTCGTACAAAAGTTACATACTAATGTAACTCCATATACTAAAATAAAGAATAAGGTAACGTCACTCCACTTACAGCAGGTGGTCTCAAGTATAATAATTACTGAACAGTATTCAAATTAGCTGAACAGTATTCATTAGACATTCTAAAAACAAGATCAAAAAAAGCACTACCTGTGCTTTTATGATATGCATGAATCTTGACATCAGTTCAGGACATTCAAGGAGGAAGTGAAAGTGGTCAAATATAATCTTGGGATTCCTAAAAGAAAAACACATTGTTTACATGGATGGGAAGGATGAGCAGCATTAAGTGACATGCAAATTTAGATATACAGATATTGAAACAGAATAAAAATACATATTAATCCACACCTACTATACTTGTACTTGTCATTGAGCATTTTTTGAATAGTAACAGAAGTAATATTTTTTCTGTTGAGATAAAAACTGTAAGAAAAGGCTACAATAGTAATCCATGAAACCAAGAAAGCTTTACCTGTTAACAAAGCATTTTAAAACTTCATCATGTTTGCAGACAAATTCAATGAAACGGGGTGAAGTCATTCTGTGGGGGGTAAAAAACAATCAGAACACACAGACCAAAGTTGGTGATATGGCAAATGTGACTACGCGTTGAATTGGACTGGCTTCTACACACACACAAAATGGGGTTTGGATTGTCTTTATGGAATCTGAGGCATGCCTAGTCAATTTATAATATGAAATATATATACACACTCAGATATATATATATATAATAACTTTTCATTAACAGATGATATAAACAAGTGACTTTTTAAAAACCTTGAAATTTTAAGCATCTCTGTCTATATGTTTCCAATACATGGTTAAATGATCCTATAGAAAGTGACATTCACCATCCAACATGTTAATAACATAAATGATGCTTAAAACTCAAATATTCTGTACTAATTCCAGATCAGTTCAATAAGTATCCTAAAGATCAGAAAACCAAAAACAGCAAAGTATTGTTATTTCTGCAATTATAAAAAAAATTATAGCTTTTCTTCATCTATCAGAAAAGGAAATGATAAGCATGTAGCGTAAGCCCAGATAACTGGGTTTTCTCTACTCAGTAATGCAAGTGCCTGACTTAAGGTTTGACTGGCGAAGTATCCACTTCAAAGATGGCTATCTCGAATAAACACAACGCCAGGCCCACAACTAGATAAAGAGCCAGGATGCCTCCCACTGAGTCTCCTGTTTCAGAGATCTTGGTTAATTTTGATAACTGACCATTTGGGCTACTTGTTTTTTTCTCTTCTCATGCTTTATACTCCCACTCTTACGTTTAAATTCACCAATAGTGAGCCCTCGAAACCCTAGTCCCCTGCCCTCGACCCCAGGCTTGTGTGTGCTCTTTCCCTCTTTCTCTCTCTCCCCCCACTCCCTAATGATGACCTGGCTGTGTGGCCCCAGGTGTGCCATGTAATTTCCAGGTCCTATAAGTAAAAAAACTTTTTTCCCCCTAAGTTTCCAATGGTTATTGCTGAAGGACATCCTGTAATCATACGAAGAATCACAAAGGCCAGTCCGGCCACGACATTGGTCATTGATAGGTGGAGACTGGCACACAGAACAACTGCCGTACTCAGCAGGACTGCATGACTGCCCTGCAGGGAACCAAGAGGAACGCCCTTTGGCTGCAGCTTGCTTACCACCACCTAACTCAGGTAAGTAACACCATCTGGGAAAGGAGCACCACTTGCTGGGGATCTGCCTTGCAGCAACGTGCTTTTGCGTACTGCCTCTGTCATGTGTTGCCTGAGACATCCAACCCAAAAGGTCACAGCTGCCAACAATCTCCTCAGAGCAGTATGATCAAGGCCATACATGGTCTAATGAGACAATGAGACCACTAATTATAAAGGCCTTGAATGACTATTAATGTGTGTGAGGATCCTCTTCGCCTCAAGGCCAAGGAGAGCTAAGGAAACTGAAGTGGACAGCAAGGCTATCACCGCAACCCAAGGAAAGGCTCTGGGCTAAAGGCACGAGAAGATTCCGTAGGTGAGGAGGGGAGACCTCTGTCTGTAACCACAGTGTCAGTATGTTGTGCCTAGACTGAGTGTCCTAACCCAGCAGAGTAAAACAGCCTCACAGTGGAAACCAATGGTACCACCTGACGGAAAATACACCAGAGGCCCATGGTCTGTGTCACCACTTCACTCACTACTGTCACTCTTTGTCCACTAACCCAGTGGGATATTGGGTCCAATCCCTGGTATAACGCTACTGAAAAATGAAGCGCCAGTGCTTCCTAAGAACACTGAGGAGGTACACCAGCTCTTTGATAAACGCAAAACCCCTTGGTCGCTACCTGGGCATTATTCAATGCTATGCATACTAACATGCCAAGAATTTGATATTATCGGGTTGGCCAAAAACTTCGTTCGGTTAATGAATACATTGTTCAATAACGTTCTTGGTGAAAATGAAATATGTGTCTTCTATTTTTACTTAAAACCGAACGAACTTTTTGGCCAACCCAATACATTCCAAAAGGCTGGGGGCTTTTCCCAACGAGCCTGAGTATCTGGTGCTAATAGAGGCCGACCACAATCCTGGAGTATTCTCTTGGGAACCCTTGAAAGGAAAGCAGCCACCTACAAAGGGGCTAACAGTGACGTCACCTAAAATTTTCCAGTAACAACACATAAGATTAAGGTAACAGGAAAAAAACAAGAAGTAGAAACTGAGTTCAAAAACCACTCCTTAATTCAAAATTCAAACCCTTCTCAAAGATTTTATGCAACAGGAAGAGGAGAAGGGAGCAGACTACTGCAGGTTTTCTTGTTTGTTTAGAATGAGCTCTAAATTGTTGCGACCACCAAAATGCATCAACTGGTCAGTATCTCTAAAGACCCTAAAATCCATAACTTTGTTAAAGATCCATCTGGACTACAAACTTGTTTCCTCCAAGAGATCACAGATGCTGAGCCCCTTTCCGCTTTCCCCTGAACGGGGCAGAACTAAGAAAAACGCCTCACAAGGCATCCCTGCCACCAAGGCAAAAGCTGACAGGGTTAGCAAGGCCTCTAAGTGAGGGAAAAAAAACGGATATGAGAAGGCAAAAGCACCCAGAGCCACAGATACTCATACAGGGCACCTCCTCTCCTCACTTGGATATTTAATGCCTGGCACCATGCCGACTCTTCCATACTGCTAAGGCTCACTGTGAATGGAAAACATTACGATGAGGCCCATCTCCTGCTGTGCAAAACTGGCATGGTCCAATGGATTTATCATTTCCATGACCATAGTGACCCAAGTGACCTCCTCTTCATTTCCAACCCTAGAGAAGCCCCATTTGACCCTGAGTCCAGGGAATTATTTTTACAGGACACTCCCCCTAATTACAGGTTGGCCCTACTACATTTTATTGGGACTGCCAAAACCATCCAAAAGGCACTAAAAATCCTAGGAGGAAACTTACATTCTTTCTCTGTCCCTTAAGATGTAAGTCTTACCATGTTTTTGAAATACAAATACCCTAGGAGGTAACTAAAACTCTGCCCACAATCACCTGAGCCTGAAGGAAAAAGAGAAAGGGAAAGAGGCCTTTTAAAATATAAACTGTTGTAAAACCTCTTACCCCAAATCTAGTCCACACCCTCCTTAAGAAAACATGTCAAAGACAAATACAAATCTTAAAAGTCTTCTCCACAAATATTTGTAAAAAGCTTTAACCGCTGGAGCAGGTAACCTTAACTTGTTCCATCTGCCAGACACAATTTGGACTCAAAAGTAGTCTGTAAACTAGTAAGTTGTATATTGTTGTACCTGATCCACAGCTAAAATTTTAGAATGGAAGCTATAGGGTCTCTGTGTCTGGCTGCATGCTTATGTATGTCTATACAGATGTATGTTACATGCAAGTGATTTTTTTTCCTACCTCTGGATGGTATTGACAAAATTAATTTGTAAAAGAGCTGTATTTAATTGGCTTAAAAATAAATACTATGAATTAAGTATTCCTAAAACTCAGTAATAAACTAACCCTAACGTTTTTCAAGTTCATGTGATCTGGGATAATCTTCTGTATATAAAAGGTAGTTTAAACTTGCTGGTTTAATTTAAAAAGGCATATCTCAGATTTATCAACATTAGATATAATGCAGACATGCAGCTTTTATTCTACTTGGGTTTACAATTCAAATAAGTTCATATTATCTAGGTTACACAATTTGTGAGCAAGAAAAATAGCTTGGGATGATGGCCAATTTTGTCTAATGCCTAATGAGACTTTCATGAATAATCTAGACGTAATTGTTAAGAACAAATGATTTAAACAGATGTAAGTGGAGTAAAGTTTAGGTGAACTTTTCAGCAATAGCTATGTTTCATGCTATGTCTACTTAAAAAGAGTTTCCCAAATCTCTTTGGTAACTTAAAAACTTCAGAGTTTTGCTAAGTTAAATTAAATGATGGAAAATTTACTGTATATCTAGGTCATTTCCAAATAAGGTAAGATATTGAAACATTAATTACTAAACATAGGTTTATCCACTTTTGGCTTTCTATTACAGAGGAACTAATGATAAATTTGGTTCTCTTACTAAACATGTCTTGTACCACACTGAAAAATTATACTATAAGGAAGCACTCTTGTGGATATCAGATTCTAGTCCTGTTAACTGCCTTTGAGGTTTTCTTTTTCTACCTGTAAACTGTACTGGACGCTGAATTTTCATTTCCTCCAATATCCAGCTACAATTCTTCAAATTAATGTTTCCAATTTTTCTCCCACCCTTCTCACTTGGAATCACTGAGAACTAAAACTGTTCCTTTTCCAAATCCATACAATATAAAGTAGAATAACTTGATGTAAAATTCAGAGAAACAACAACAACAGCTCATATATGGACAATCTTTGTGCCTGTTGCTATATGGGCCACTCAGAAAAATCACCAGATACATTCAGACTGCAAACCAGGAAAATCTAGCAGATTGCCTCCACTTTATCCACTTCAAAGAGGCATCCGCTTCAAAGATGGCTATCTCGAATAAACATAATGCCAGGCCCACAACTAGATAAAGACCCACCCCTCCATCTCCAAGCTCCTTTGTTTTAGAGATCTTGGTTGATTTCAATAACTGACCATTTGAGCCACTTGTGTTTTCTCTTCTCATGCTTCAAATTCCCACTCTCATGTTTTAAATTCACCAATAAAGAGTGAGCTTTCAAAACCCTAGGCCTCTACCTTCAACTCCAATAAAAAGAGAACCCCAGGCCCTCGAGCTTTCTTTCTACTGGCAACCTTGCTGTGTGGCCCCAGGTGTGTCATGTAATTTCCACGTCCTGTAAGTAATAAACCTTTTTTTTTTTTTTCAAAGTTTCCTGATGGTTATTGCTGAAGGGTGTCTTGCAATCATAATAAGAACCACAAGGGCTGCTCCAGCCACAACATTGGTTATTGATAGGCAGAGATCAGCACACAAAACAAGCAGAAACCTTCTTACCCTGGAGGCATCTGACAAGAACAGCACATGTAAAAAGCTTGAATGACAGCACTTAGCCGGTTAGCTGTCATAGAAATAACATCCTGGCAGTCTGCACTGGCTTCCTGTTTCCCTCCAAGAGCATCTGGTTTAGATTCCCCTGTGCCAGTGGATAGATTTTCATAGCTCCCAGGTCCTGGAGGTTCAAATGCAGGAATGGAAGTACCATCTTGATCTTGGCCTTTTTGTTTCAGTAAAATAGAAGTGATATCCGTTGAGTCCTTTTTGTTTTTCATTAATTCTGTAGCTATTAAAACTAGCCATTCATCTAATGAGTGCCAAAGCAATTCAAGAGGCTAAGAAAAAAAGAAAGTGTTTTTTTAAAACATCATTCTTAAACTGCAGGATAAAAAACCCACTCAGACAAATATTATAGAAGAGAATATTTACTCTAGATACTTTTATTTTCCCAAGTTTATGTGTCAGCAATGCCTAAAGGTAAGTAACAAAAACATAAACCTCATATAAATGACAATTTCTTCATTTATAGCAAAAACTTAATTTGCACTTATTTATTCCTTAGAATAAAAAAAGGAAAATTAAACTCTAACCAAAAAATGCATAAGCAATATTTCTTTTAAAATTTTTCAAATATTTAGTTTTAAACCATACATTACTTTTATGAATACAATCCCCCTAACCTTTACTGTATTAATGTGTCAACTATTTTTAATTATGTTGTTTTTCAATTAAAAAAATGAGAATTCATAAAGAGCTTAATAAACTTAGTTTACTGCACTCTTCTTTACATGGAATCTCTGAGATTTTGAAAATTTATGATGAGAAACTTTAAAATATGATGTGATATTTACATCCACACATACACACACACACACACATATACATATACAGGCATACCCAACCACACACGAATCCATCTCTAATAACTAGAAACTATCAAATATTGGCTAGCAAATCCATAATTCAAAGTAAAGATCAACAGCTTAATAAAAAAGGAACACATAGGAGTAAACAGTTTCTTAATTCTATACTATTTTAAATATTCCTTTTGAGAATAATGAAATGTCTTTTGTAAATTAACAGCAAATGAAATTTTATCTTTAAAATACTATGTGATCACAAATGCTATAACAGGACTAAGTACTAGAGAAAAATGAAATTTATGTATCATCTCTAGTGAACAGTAATTTTTAACACAAGGAGAAATACAAATGCCCAACTACTATTAAAAGACATGCTACTGGGGATCTAATGTACAGCATTGTCACTATAGTTATCAATACGGTATTGTACACTTGAAAGGTGCTATGAGAATAAAGCTTTAATGTTCTCACCACAGCAACAGCAACAAAGTGGTAATTATGTGAGGTGAAGGATGTGTTACCTAACCTTACTGTACTAAACATTTTGCAAAATATACTTGTATCAAATCATCACACTGTATACCTTAAAGTTACTCAACCCTATATAACAGTTACAGCTCAGTAAAGCTGGGGGGAAGAAAGACCTGTTAGAACATTTTTTAATCCCAAATAAAGATGAACAGTGAAGGCACAGGGGAGCAGGGGGGATAGTGGTTTAATGTCTTCCATTCCTACACTATTCTAAATATTCCTATTGACAGTGATAAATTGTCTTTCTACAAATGAATAAAAAGTTAATCTTACTTTTTGATTCTTATATGATCACAGAACACTACAAACTAGACCACATGCTTCTGAAAAACCCACCCTAAATATTTCAACTAAAAGAAATAATCTTACTTTTAAAGACCACTATGTAAAGAGATTATACAACCATATTTGGAACTTTAGGAAATGTTTAAATAACCTGTTCTGCCAAGCAATTCTTTACAATTATTATCTAATAAATCCCCCTGCTGTTATCGTCAGCCTTTCTTCAGATTTCCAGAACACTCTCTATTTGAGAATAATCTACTTATTGAATTTGCAAACAATTAAATCACCCCTAAGTCTTCACTTAAAAATTAAACCAAAAAGCAAGAAGGAAAAAACCCTACCACCATCAACAAAAAACCAGTTTACTCATTCAACAAATATTTAGTTAGTACAGCCTAGGTAAACAGGTAAGCAAAGTGAGGTAAGCAAAGGGTTTCTGAGAAACCCTTTCTGAGGTTGAAATGAGCACCCTTCTCCTGCACAAAGACGGCTTTTCCATGGTTAGTCACAGCAGTTGGATGCCTAACTTCTTAAAGGGTCCCTGAACTGCTTAAAAGAAGGGCAAGAAGCACCAGCTGCCATCAACACTGACATGGTACCTTCACTGAAAATGTCTTAATTTTAATCATGATCCAAGTTTGGGTCTATAGTCTCTCTTCATGAGAAAAACATTAAACCCTGCTATAAAAGATGAAAAGAACTTCTTATGTCAGCAAAACTATTTAGCTTTCATCAAAAAATGAACTTCCAAAAAAGAAAGAACAGGTGGTGATGAAAAACTGCTTGAAACAAAAGGAAAAAGGAATAACTGGCCTCTAAGTGAGAAGGACTAAAACCCAGAAAATCCCCACACTACATAGAGATGAAGGCTAAAGGCTGGAAGTGATACCTGCTCCTCACGTGGATGAGAGTGCTGAGCCTGAACTACGATCATCCTATTCTCAAATACTGACAACCTGCAAAAATTAAAGGTGAATTCTGAATCATTCCAGAAATAATATCCAAAAACAGCCAGATCTGTGTAAAAATGATAGTGACAATAAAGATACCGAGAAAAGCTAGAAAGAGTTTTCAATAGAGTAGCACAGCAAAGAATTAAAAGAGAATGAGGGAAAAAAAGAAGTAGTAAATCATCTTGGGCTTTTCTTTAGTTTTCTCTTTTCCCCACTGTTTATTTATTCATTCACACATGCACTAAAACTAAATCCCAACCTTAAAGCATTTTTACCTAGGGAGTTGTCCCTTTGAAGACTTGTTCAGAAAATTCATTCCTCAATAACAAAAAGAATACTGTGAAAATAACTTTAATTTCTAACTGTAGTAGCAGTCACAGACAGAAAGGGTTAAATTTTAAAAATTAACAATTGCAAACCATGTCTATGAGGCTTTTTCATACTCATACATAATAATGATAAAAAACATCAATACAAAGTACCATACATATTAACTGTTACAGAAAAATGAGTCAATGACTATGGAAAATATTAGGCTTCTTGGCACTATGGAAGTATTACTTCATTTCATATTATTGAGTGATCTTCACCACAGAATTATATTCTACCTATAACAACGATTTGACAAGCATACATGATTTTCAAAAACATTTCAAGTTAACAAGTCAAAGCTATAATATATAATCCCAAACTTGTTGGACAATTTAAAAAATCTCAAGATCCATGTGTCAAATGAGATACAAATTTGACAGGAAAGCATTACTAACAAACTTATTAATAGCATCTTGAAATTCTGTTAATCGGACTGTTCTCAACTCGATAATGTCAAATGCCACGATCCAAAAGATAAGACCTTAAAGTTAAAAGTTTCTCAATCTTTCTTGGCTTCCAATTATAATTCTATGAAACCGTTAATAGTCGCAGCTTACTACTCACAAAAAAGGAGCATATCAAGATTCAAGAAGCCTAAACTCTCTTCCCCACGCTCACCCTACTTCTATAACCAGAACTACTTTCTCCTTCAGATGTTCCAAAGTTCACAAGGCTCTAGATAAAAATCTCTTAACACTGAAAGAAGGGCTAAGTGTTAAGATTAACTTAAAGGACTTCTAAGATAAATCAGGAAACTAATAACAGGATGTTAAACAAACCTACTACAAACACATGGCCTATAAACCCACTCATTCTTAATGGAAAACCCATTAGCTAACCCCAACAATAAAGTGACATAGTAACTAGTTAATAAAATAGAAAGTAGGGATCAATTGCTATCATAGACAAAATGTGGTAAAAATTAAAATGGTATTTCCAATCTAAAATTGCAGTTAACTCACCAGATGGTTCAGATTTTTACAACTTCAATCATCCCAAAATGAAAAGACCTTAAATACATGGATGACAGTGTAGTTTCTATTTTTATCCATGTAAGTGGGAGGGCAGATCATTTTGCCATCCGCCAAAGAGTCCACATTTAATTCATAAAATTTATCTAATTTTAGAGATTAATCAGTTCCTTAAGAGTAACACTTGTTAATGTTTTAAAAAACTGGCTGCGTTTGTAACAAAAATGTTTTACCAAAGTGAAAGGTCAAAATTTAAGAGAAAATAAGTGCTCAGAGACAAAGGCAGTTGTCAATGATACAGGGAAAAAAAATGATACAGGGAAAAAAAAAAACCTTAAAAAGAGAAATAAAGATACTAACAAATGAAATAAAAGAGAAGGAAAGAACTTTATATATTATATATATCATTGATATATAACAATGAAAACAAAGAGTCTGGATTCCATAAAAGAAAAGCTAAAAGAAAAGCAATAATATCCTTTTCTACTCTGTTTTATCTGTACTGACGGTCTAGATAGAAAAATAACATTTAAATCAAGCACTAAACGCCTATAAAGAGGTTACTTAGCACATAAGTATTTTCTGATATCATTAGCAACAGGTGGCAAATTGAAATTTTAACAAAAAATAAGACAATAATAAATATAATATATACTCAATTTGTCAATAGTGACCATATCTATACCTGGTTTGATTTTCATTCATCATTACAGATGAGTAGAAGGACAAGTAGAAAAATCAATCAGGAGAAGTTTCAGTAACAAACTGCATGAGTCATATTAGAACACATTAAGAACAACTTCCTGTAATATGAATGTTTGAGCAGTGAAACTCACTTAAAACAGCACTAACAAAACAGAGGATCAATAATTCAAATTCAAATTTTACAAAGACAGGAAGCTATCACTTCTAACTAGTATTAAAGGAAGTGGTACGTTGAAAAGCTAAAATCTGAATTACAAGAAGATGCATAACTTCCTTCTTCCAGGAGATGGCACAATAGGGGAAAAAAAAAGAAGGAAGAAAGACACATACACACACACACACACACACACTCGCGCGCACAACTGTGGGGGGAGGGAGAAGCATGCACACATGTGGCTGAACACTCCTGCACCAATGTAAAGAAAAAAGAGCCTGAAGCAGACGAGATGCACAGAAACTGATACATACCTATTCTAAAAGGTTATCATACCTATTCCAGGTATTAAAGAATTGACTAGTGTCAAAATGCTTGCTAACCATTTATTTGTGTCTGCCAAAAACTTGCCATGTAAGACTAGAATCATTTAGCATACATCATTAATTTAACTTTATATAACTTCAAATTTTATAGATAAGTAAAGCTGTCAATCACAACTCATTTTTGAGGATGTGGCACGTAAAAACATTTATATCACCTTTTGGACAGACAACCTATATTTATACCCAAAAGACTGTTTAAAGAAATATAATTTTTCATGAACCCAAAAGCTAATTTTATACTATGAAAAGCTCTCCAGATAAATTACCTTTAAAAAAATAACATGAAAACAATTATTACACATTTGTCCAAAATCTGAGTTATCTGAAAATATAATGCCATAAAAAAGCATTAACAATAGCCATTATAGTCATGTACATTTATTA